AAATGCACAGCTGTGCCCTTCGCAGAAGGACAACGAAACGCTGGCCTGTTAAAGGGACGCCGTGTGGGCACTGCCTACGGAAATGACTGAGGGTCGGGGCGCGCTCATCGGAGGAACCCCCTTCCAGGATCAGAAGGGGACTGGACTCAACAAAGGGAAATCCGTGTGCACCTGCCGGAGGAGGCCACCTGCGTGGGGAACATGAGCCCTGGGGCAGAGATGGGCTGAATTGCCCGGATTCCAGGGGTCCTCAGAGGCGCCAAAGCCAGGAAGAGCTGCTCTTCTGCCCACAGACCGGGGGGAGGAGGGCTCCAGGCAGCGTCTCTGACATCTGGGACATGCACGCTACCGCTTTGTTAAATATAAAAATGTGCAACGCTATGCATGTATAAAAGATGCCCGCATCAAAATTGCTAATCGTTCCATTTTAAAATTTTCACTCCCATAGATAGGCAGTTGGGCAGGTGGTGAGAGGGCTTCAAGCTGCCGCCAGGCTCTGTGAAATGTGTCTCTTCCAGTCTCGCCCTCGCAAACCGTGACGAGAATTTGCTGTTTGCAAACCTGTGCTACACACACAAGACAGAACAGCTGGACATTTACAAATAAACATTTTCAGTTTAATAGGTTAACTAGAAATGTATCTGTCCCAACATGTTCCATCTCAGTTTACTCCCCCCCACCATCCCCTCCCCGTGCTAGTTCTGCTTGGGCTGGGACGACCAGGGGGAGTGAATACAGCGTGAAAGGCGAAGGCGATGCGTGTGGAGCCGGGAGAAGGGAGCACTGGCCCGCGGCCCTGGTGGACGTTCCGGGCGGAGGAAGCCATCAGGCCTGGCTCTGTGAGCAGAAGAGGGAGTGTGGGGCCCGGAGCGCTGGCCAGAGGAAGGTGGGAATGGAGATGAGTCACTGAAATCTCTCCTCTCTCAGGAAACATTAGAAAGGATTGTCCAGGATGTTCACTTTCATGAGGAATTTGTTTTTTTGAATGTCCTGCACGTTTACGTCGCCGGATATGATACTGTCCCACGAGGGGAGGTTCAGGGCCATCTGCGTCCACTGGTCCTTGGCTAGCTCGGAGTTTGAGTACCACCATTCCTGAGGGGGCGGAGAGAACACGGGCCGGTCGGTGTCCCTGCCAGTGAGACCCGGCTCACATATCTCTGGGCTTTTAAAACTATGTGGAGCCACAAAGAATGAATTTTTCTGCCCAAACTGCCGACACGTGACTGTAAATAAACATGGAGACCTGTACTTTCACTCATTATTCCACTGACCCCGAGCAGAAGGCACTGCGCTTGGTACTGAGTGCGGTTTTTGCTTCTCAGAGGGGAGAAAAGATATGCACTCAGATGGAACACGAACTGTAAAGTGGTGAGAGCCACAAGAGAGGCGCCTGGATCTGGCTCAAGGGATATGGAGGGGAGGGAGAGCCCATGAGAGTTCAGAGGGGAAGAGGAGGTGCACACGCCTGAGCTATGGACATGTCACCCCTCGCAGTAAGACTCCCGAGGCCTCCCACACCCTCGAAACCTCAGTGCTCAGCTCCCGGCTTCTCGGAAGGGTGAGCACCCCCCACCTTCCGCCCCCGTGGTCCCCCCCGCCCCACCCCAACCTGCTGGCTGTTGGCACGCACTCTGTTCAGGTTCAGCCAGCCCATCTCCAGCACGTTCCCGTGGGTCTCCGCGAGCTGCAAGGCTGTGTTCAGGAAGAGGTCACAGTTCTGCCCGTCGCCCATGAGTATGCACACGTAGGCCATCAGGTGGTACATCCTCGATAAGAAGACGGGGCCCGTGGTGTTCTGAGCCACCGTGCTCTCCAAGTTCTGAGGAAGAGACAGCATGTCAGAATCCCAGAGCCCTAGCTAGTTTGGCTCAGTGGATAGAGCGTCGGCCTGCGGACTGAAGGGTCCCAGGTTCGATTCCAGCTAAGGGCACATGCCTGGGTTGCAGGCTTGATCCCCAGTGGGGGGCGTGCAGGAGGCAGCTGATCAATGATTCTCTCCCATCATTGATGTTTCTATTTCTCTATCCCTCTCCCTCTCTAAAATCAATAAAAATATATTTAAAAAAAATGAATAAATTAAAAAAAAAAAAAGAATCCCAGAGGGGTCCTTGGCTGCAGTTTTTCCTCCACAGATGATTTGGGGACAGTTCAAGGATATATGCAATCAAGGAAAACCTACAGGGACTGGCTAAGGAAGGGGTGGAGGTAAGACGATGAATGGCAGGTGGAACCCAGGCCCAGAGTGCGAAATGGGTGACTCATGTGGGGACCGGATGTTAAAAGGTTGCCCTGACTGGTTTGTTTCAGTGGATAGAGCATCGGCCTGCGTACTGAAGGGTCCCAGGTTCGATTCTGGTCAAGGGCATGTACCTTGGTTGCGGGTGCATCCCCAGTAGGGGGTGTGCAGGAGGCAGCTGATCGATGTTTCTCTCTCATCGATGTTTCTAACTCTCTATCCCTCTCCCTTCCTCTCTGTAAAACATCAATAAAAATATATTTAAATAAAATAAAATAAAAGGTTAAAGGCCATTTACTACCTGCAGGTGCAGGGCAATGACCGGCAGTGTCCCTGTGCGTACTGTGCAGGTGCCTTTCTACAGCCCAAATGCTGATCGTATGATTTGGCAAGAACCTCTTTTGTCTGAATTGGGATAAAAGTATGTTTCTGAGCAGCTGGTGCAAGGCTGCTTTGTGTTTGCTACCGTGTCAGCAAGAACTGCTTTGTTTGATGGCTCCTGTGTCTGCGATGGCTACTTGGTCTGCAATAAAGTCTCTCCCATCTGCCTCCTGCTGCTCACGTCTTCTTCCAACTCCAGGTGTCCTCAGAGGCCCAGCCCCTAGCAAAGGGGTGTGGCCTAACAGCCCATTAGCTTTCCCTACAACCACTTCGTAAAAAAGATGTTTCCTTTTGATTACCAAAGCAATGTAAGTTGATTATTTAAGATTTCCAGGGGAAATGAAAAGAACAGCAAAAAATGTAAGAATCACCCATAACCCTAGCATCCAGAAGGAAATAATTTGGGTACACACTTTCTCACTATTTTATTATACTCTCTCTCTCTCTTTCTCTCTCACACAGATACACACACACACGCACATACACACACACTCACTCTCACACACATCCATACACACTCACACATTCACTCTCACACAGGCTCACACACTCACAAACACGCTCACACACACTCGCTCACACACACACTCACACACACACACAACACACTCTCACACAGGCTCACACACTCACAAACATGCTCACACACACTCATACTCTCTCACACACACACTCACTCAGTCACACACACACACACACACACACACACTTACACCCACCACAGTTAGGATCATACTAATCACATGGCAGGGTAACATTGTTTTTCTCATTTAACCTCCTGTTATGAACATTTTTTAATGACATGGCTCCTTTACATCAGGGCTCATGAATTTAAATATTGACAGGAGCCAGGCAAGTGACACAGGTGAGCAGGCTGGTGTAGCTGAGCAGCATAGGGGTCACCTCGCACTGGAGAAAGTGTGCCCTAAGTGTCACCTTGTCACGTCCAGCCAATAGCTGCCCTTCAGGAGTGAGGGCCTCTGGTTGCCATCTACTCCAGGTTTTAAAAGAAGGGTCAGAAATTCAGATTTTATTTATTTATTTATTTATTTTTTAATATATTTTATTGATTTTTTACAGAGAGGAAGGGAGAGAGATAGAGAGTCACAAACATCGATGAGAGAGAAACATCGATCAGCTGCCTCCTGCACATCTCCTACTTGGGATGTGCCCACAACCCAGGTACATGCCCTTGACCGGAATCGAACCCGGGACCCTTCAGTCTGCAGGCCGACACTCTATCCACTGAGCCAAACCGGTTTCGGCCAGAAATTCAGATTTTAAAATATGAAATGCCCCGTGTTTAAAGGTGCCATCCCCAAGTTAACCCATAGTCTCTGAAGGGTGTGTAAGTGTTTGCTTTCTCCTAGTGTTTTGAGATCAGCATCTCCATGGATATATTTTCGTTTGCCTTGGGACAGTCCCCAGAAGCACTGCTGGGACAAAGGGTGTGAAGACAGGCAAGCATGTGGCCGGAGTGCTCTCCGGAAAGCTTATGAGATCGCTTACAGCATGGAGGTACGTGAGCCGTGGTCACCGGAGGCAGACAGAAGCCCACTCAGGAGGCAGAGGGCAGCCTCACCTTGAGCAGCTCAACGCCGCTGTCCTGCGCGCTCTCAGACTGCCCTTCGATTTGCTTCTGAAGGTGCAGAACTTGGGCCTCCAAGTACCTGCAGACCCCGTGGAAGTAAAGAGCTGTGGGCGTCCTTCTTGGCACTAGGTTTTTAGCTTTATTGAAAAATACCTGAAAGTCGTCCCACTCCTGGAGTCTGGCATACCTGCGCCACCACAAGAGAACAAGAAAAGTCAGCGTCAGCCTTGGAAGGGGAGCATTTCTCGAATTGGTCGCTCCCGAGGTGGTCCCAGACTCCCGGAAGCCCACTGCGGGGCGTTATGGGGTATGGACAAGGGAAGAATGGGAAGTTTTGAGATGAACAGAACCCTTGGGAACACGCCGGCCTTATTAGCCACCATTGATTTAACTCTTTGAACTCTAAAAAGTGAAGCCGATCAGACACTTGGAGCTATAACTTCTAGGGTTTAAAGAAATTGCTCCAAATCCATAATGAGGTGGCCTTAGCCAGTACTACTCCAAGTGCGGGCCACAGACTGGCATCAGCAGGGTCAGGTGGATACTCCTTAGAAATGCAGGCTTTCTGGTCCCATTCAGATCTGCTGCATCAAGCAGACTCGGGATGGACCAGGACTGTGTGAAGAAGCTCTCCGGGGGATGCCAAAGCCGCAGCTGTTGAAAGAGCTTTGCAGAGTAGAATAATAAATTAGGACGACGTTTGGACTTTAGATTCCTTGAACTGGAACTCACATAGGCAAGTTAATTTGACTTTGGACTTCCATTGGCAAGGGTAATTCATTTGGGGGCTTTCATTTCCACCCAGGCATTCTGATAAGAGGAGGTCTCTATTCACATGGGAACAGCTCTAGTTTGTGGCACTCCGCATAGCAATGTCCCATATTGTCATTTAATCTCTTCACGGCACCTCTAAATATCGGGCAACAGGGCTGCACATGTAATTTGAGATGGGAAGTAGAGCAGGAATGACTCCCAGTCTTGGGGTAGCTAGGGAAGAAGTTCCATGCATGTTCTGAGCCTTACTGGTCATCTGCCTTGAAGCCAAGGCCAAGGCTGCAGGCTTGCTGAGTTAGACGCTTAACAGGGCAAAGGACCAAGCCTCAGGCTCACTGGGTTAGCGGGGTACAGGCCTGCTTCTCCCTCACCCCTGAACTTGCCTTGACGTGACGGCCCTCACTGGCCCACAGCTCCCTGCCCCTGCCCGGCCTCCCTCCCTCCTCTGATGATAAGGAGTGACTTGGTTGATGGCAGACTTTGGGAGAGGAATTAGGCGGGTGGAGCTCAGTACCCACCCCTCCACCTGGAGAGCCAGTGATGCCCACAGCGAGCGTGGAAATGCTCTTCCCTCTGCCTCTGTGGGCGAAACTGGAGCTTTCAAGAACTGCTCCCTGCTGAGTTCAATATTAAGAAGCCCACTCGCTTGCAGATATCAGCCACTCCCTCCAACACCAGCTCTACCAACGTTTGTGGGCATGATTGGATCTTGGGGAGGGGCAAGTGCTGGTCTTTATTCGTCTCCCTCAACCTCACCCTCCTCGGGGTCGAGTGTTCTTTCCTCTGGTCTCCAGAGCACCACAGAGTAACAGGTGCATCGGCCATGCTGGTTGCCTTGCCTACAACTGAGGCAGCATCTCTTTCCCGTCGTGGGGGAGGGGCCCGAACTAGCAGGGGATTCCCTGGTGTCTCAGTGTCAGGCCACTGACGCCTCTATCTGTCTCGGGGATGATTTATAAATACTTTTACTTTTTTTCCTTTTTTAAAAAAAAATAAATCTCAAAGAACTCTCCTGCGGGACTGAATGGGTTCAGAGTTGGGGCTTTAGTGACAGGCGGCCCACGGTTACCAGATCGCCACACCCGAGTGCAGTCCCAGGAGGATCCCGCTCTGGAACTTGAGGATCCTGTTGTCCTCGTTTTCCTGGATGAATGCCAGACACTCGTTGAACGTCCTGTAAACAAACCCTGAGAGAAGGGGGAGAGCTCTGCTGAGGGTCGGTGGCTCTCAGGGGACTTCCCACCGAGGGGAGAGGCCGCACCTCAGATTTCTTTGTGAGTCCAGGGGGACTCGGGGATTTATAAATCATACCCGAGATCGACAGAAGGCAGCAGAGTGGCCTGGCACAGAGACACGTCGCTGCACTGCCCGTGGTGGCCGCGCCCAGCTTTTGTGGATGTGTGTGCAGACCAGGCAGGAGCGGGGTACAAGCCAGCCCTCCCTGCTCGAGCCCAAGGAGTTGGCCGAGTGCCGCCCGGGACTGCCGGTCTCTCACCCAGCCTCCCCACCCACAGCGGTGTCTGCTGCCCCTTCCAAACCCGGTGAGGAAGCCCGACCCAGGGCCCCTCTGATTTCACCTGTGCCCTGAGCGCTGCCTACTAGGGGGAACCTGCCCGGAACTCCCATCAGCAATCTGACCCTCCACTCTCACCTGACGTTAAGTTACTCGGAATGTCCTGAGTAATTAAATGCCTTATTTAAAGACTTGAAGCCACTCTGTCAGTCACTGTCACTTGGGTGTGAATTGATGGGACACTAACTGGCAGCTTATGGCCGACAACATCGTCCTCCAGACTGAATTCTCTTCCTTGCTGGTCACAATCCTTGCACCTTCCAGACGGCCCTCACCTCTTAACACCAGGCTCTCCTCTTTCCTGTCCTCTCCTCTTTCTGGCCAGAAACCTAGTGACCCGGAGCCTCAGCCCTGACCGCTGCCACCCCAGTCCAACACGAGTGTCACCCCCCCCCCCCCCCGGTCCCTTGTAGGCTCACCAGAGTACAGCATGGTGTCCAGGCAGATTAAGTAGAAGAACGCCTTGCTGATGATGTGCTCTTCCGATACAGAGAGGTCCCACAGCCACCCCAGCACCTGGATCAGCTGCTTGTACCTGAGGTCAGATTCAGGGAGAAGAGAATCAAGCCCGGTCCTGGTCCAGTCTCGGTCCTGCCCGGCACTTCAGGACCAAATGCAACCCTAAAGCTTCAAACCCACCCCTAAATCTCCAGTCGACTCCTCGTTCAAATTGTGCTTTCGTGGACCTCCCTGTGGGGGTGACCAGGCTCAGCCACCTCGGGCCTCTGATCCTGGCTGCTAGTCTCTGGGCATCACTTCCCCCAGGAGGCTTTTCCTGTTCCCTCCACCTGATGCCCACAGTGGGGATGGCTAGCTGACCCTCTTCCAGTCACTGGCCAGAGTAGAGAGAGAGGCTAAGTGTGGAAGAATTCTGGGGAAGAGCATTGGTTTCCAAAGGATAATGATGATGATGATCAGTGACGTCATCTTGCTGTACACCTTCCTCCCTAACCCACCTGATGGCCAGGGTAGTGAGCCCAGAACACTCAATCACTATGGCTTCCTCCCCCTAATTTTGGAAAATGCTTTAAGATAAATACTTGGTTTTCAGGCGAAGACTTGTACAGAGCCAGCAGAGGACCTTATATTGTTTGTAGGGATTCCGGAGCAGTGCCCACATCTTCTGGGCCCGAGAGCCTGAGGAGAAAACAATTCCGGTAGATTTCTGGGTGTTACTTATATCCGGGTGTCCTGTCTGGCTCAGCCCGCCCTTACCTAAGTCAATGGCCAAGTCCAAATGACCCATCAAGTACTTGTTGCAGCCCAGTGTGTCGGCCATGTATGCCATGATCTCAATGCCCTCGGCCTTCAGGGGGAGGTTTAAGATGATCTCCATGGCCATGATTTCGTTCTTGTACCACATGATGTGCTGGCTGGCCAGTTGCTCATGCAGCGAGTAGTCCAGGTAGGCCTTAATGATCTGGAATGGCAGATGGGGGAGAGAGGGCAAGACCGAGATGGAGCCCCCGCAGGCAGCCGGGAGAAGCTGCCCAGTATCTGCTGGAGAATGGCACTGGCCACCTGGCCGCGCCCTGGCCTTTGGTACAGAAATTAAACTGAGTTTCTGCCGCCTCTTCCCCAAACCACCCAGGACAAGCTTGATGGCCCCTCTTGCCTCAGAGGCGTTAAACAAGAATTTCAATTTCTGTGAAAAAATAAAAGCAATGGCTTATATGTGTGGCGATGTGATTACATGGCAAAGAGCCTAGACCCTAGAAGGACTCACCCCCAAGTGTAAATAGTAGTTACCCCTTGTTGGGGTGGACAACAGATTAGAGGGAGAAGAGAGACCTGACTTTCACTTTATGCATTTCTGTAGTGTTTATGACAGGCACGTGTCGCTTTTTAACTTAATGAAAAAGAGAAGCTAGTTTGCTTTTTTAGAGCATGTTTCAAATGGCGCTACCAGGAGGGAAGGATGGCCAGAAATGATGGTGGATGAGAGGAGGCTGTTGGGCAATGAAAAGTCCAAACTGCAGTAAAGTCTGGGGCTGCCTGGATAGGGGCCAAGAGAACAGTCCAACTGCTTCACTTCCTGGGAGAAAGTCATGCCCGGAGGCACGTGGCTCGCAGGTGGTCACACCCAGGCAGGTGGGTCCTGGAAGCTAAGCTCTCACACTCATTCCTTCTGTTCTGCTGCACTCACCGCCTCACCTGCGTGTGAACACGGGGGAGCACGTCCCCAGCTGTTCTGCCCTCAGGCACAGCCATCTCCTTAACAGTGTCTACTGATTCAGCTTTCAACCTTGACTTTTCCATCTTACCCTCCACTGCCCCCCAACTCCACCACGTTTTTAGGAGAAAGCCCCAAACGTGTCAGAGAAGTAAAGCCTTTCCCTCAATAAATACTTGTTGAGCACCAGTAGGTGCCAGACACCGTTCTCAGAGCTCAGCACTGAACAAGACAACAGCAAGGCACCCGCTCGCTCTCACGAAGTTGACACACTGGTAGGGGGCACACAGGCCACACACTAACTAAGGAGCGAAAAAGAATGTCAGGTAGTAATCAGCCACTAAAATAGGGTGACAGGCTGGACAGTGAATGGGTGAGGTGATCAAGAAAGGCATCACTGAGGAGGCGACCTTCAAGCTGCAAAGTAGAGAGCCCAGTCAAGGTCACAGGATGAGCACTCCAGGCCAAGGAGACAACCAGAGCAGAGACCCTTAGATGACGGAGCTTAGATATCTAGCAACCAAAAGCGGCCCTTAGGGGCCCGGGAGCTAGGAGAGGATTACAGGACACAGGCAGAAGCCCAATCTGATGGGCCTTATAAATTCTTGCATTCTCTGGCCTCCTGAAAGGAACTAACGGTGGGATTTAATCATCCCACATGTACTGTGCTCCGCGCCATTTCACTTAATAACTGATGGCTCTGAGAAGGAATGACGGTTCCAGGAGCCCAGACTTGATGGACTTTTATAAAGGAACCAGGTCTCTTTGATTAGATGAGCTGGATTTAGCTTAATCATTTATTTTTTAATCTTCACCCAAGGATATTTTTTCCATTGATTTTTTTAACGAGAGTGAAGGAGAGGAAGGTGGGGAGGGAGAGAGAGAAACATCGATGTGAGAGAGACACATCAATTGGTTGCTTCCCACACGCACCCTGACCAGGACCAGGGATCAAACCTACAACTGAGGTACATGCCCTTGATCAGGAATCGAACTCAAGACCCTTCAGTCAGCGGGCTGATGCCCTAACCCCTGAGCAAAACCAACCAGGGCAGCTTAATCATTTCTTGATCATGTGACCTGGAGTTTTCTTCATCTAATCAAGGACTTTCCAGTTTATGACCTAGACTAGGGCTTCTCCCTGTGTGGACCCTGAGACCCTTTCGGGAAGGACACACAGAGGTCTAAGCTGATTTCTTTATATTAAGGCATTTTGTGTTGGGAAAAATAGTGAAGGATCAAAATGGGCGAGGGGACAACCACAAAACTTAGTGGGTGTCCTGTCCAGCTCCCGGCACTGCTGTCTCTGCTCATCTCTGTCTCTGGCCTGTTTTATAACTCCGGATGCCACAGGAAACTGACGTCAGCGACTTTCTCATAGAAATGGAAATGGAGGTGGAACACAGTGATGATTGCCCTTTGATGAGATGTTTCGCATCCGCTCATAAATGGAATTCTCCTTGGACCCAGTGGTAACTTTTACTAGTTCTCTCATTAATTCGTGAGTTGGTAAAGTCTTATACACTTGAGTCATGATTTGGCACTTTCCTTTTTCACCCTCATTCTCTCACAGGTACATAGGTTTTCCAGGGGAGAGCGGTGTGAGGGAGCAAGGTGGGAGCTTGAGAGGGAGTATAGGGGACAACCTGGGGGGGGGAGGGGCGCTAGCAATCTGAATCTGTGCCAGTAACCAGTATCCTGATGCACACTCTTGTTAGCCTATAAAGTCACTACCCCTTCCTCAGGCAATAATCTGTTTCCCTAAATACTCCCAGTTCACAAGGGCCACAAACCAAGAATTTAACAGCTTAGCCCGGGGAGGTCACTGGCACCCCCAGGCCAGGCCTTTGGGTGTAATCTCACCTCCCCCACCCCAACCCACAGAGGACTGCAAAGCCTGCGAAAAGTCCGGAAGCCTGGTCTGTATTTGGGGAGACAGAAACCCAGGGGATAAACGGGAGAGACCCTCCACATCCGGTGCTCAGGCTTTGGAAAGCGACTCCCGAGTCACCGTCCTAGTACATCTGCAAATAAAGGGTTTTTCCTGCATCTTCTGAGCACCCGGTGTGTGTTTTCCGGCCGCCTGGTAAATTCTGCAACAAGCCGAGTGAGAATCTGTCTTCCAGGAAGTCAGGCATTAGGGTATTTGCGAAAACTTAGCACATGCCACTCTTCTCATTAAATTTTTTGTTTAGAGAAATAGTTTCCCCCCCTATGGAAATGTTAATTGTATGAATATGTAATGGATTTATTATTTTACAAATATTTGAAATATGTTTTTGTTTTTTATATCATAACATCATAGATACAACCCATAGAAATCAAAGCTCTTTGAGGCCCTCGAGAATCATGAGGTGCGTAAGGAGCCTGGGACCAGAGTGCTGACCCGCTGGCCTCAGAGCAGGCGTGTGGGAGGCAGGTGTTGGTCCTTGTGATTCTGAGACCCGACTGGCTCTTGCCAGGCTTGTCTTGCCAAATGAGATGCAGAAATTTACAAAGCAGCCACAGAAGCCCCCTACCTGGAAGTCATCTTGTGTTTCCAGGGCAGTGTTCATTTCCATCAGAGCTGCCAGGTAGGCGTAGTACTTGTAGTGAAAAAAGTAGTTCAAGCTGTAGATCTTCCACAGCAGGGAGAAGCAGTTGACCTGCAGGTGCAGTTCCGCCAGCCGCTTCTTCCTGGGAGAGGGAGGATGGGAGGCGGTCACCCAGGAAGGGGTCAGCACCGCCCCTCGCTGCAGGGAGCGCAGGCCCCAGCCGCCCCTCGCCAGCAGCGCGTCAGTGTTCTGAACACATGTTCTTCGCCTCAAAATGGGCACTAGAATACCGACCTTGTGAGGATTAAGATTATTTATATAAATCAGCAGTCCGGTCATTGGCATTTAAGTAAAGCTACTTAAGAAAACACCTTTTATCATTTAACCACATTTGATTCTGATGACAACCATGTATGGAAGGGTGGATGGAGTACAGTGGAACCTCAGTTCTCAAACCTCATTCATCCCAGAAGGCTGTTCGAGAAGCGATTTGTTAGAAAGCCGAAGCATTTTCCCCACATTAGAAATAATGTGACTTGAATTCATCTGTTACAGACCCTGAATGAGTCCCTGCTTTAACCTTCCAATACGCAGTGCATGTCTAAGCTCTATCGTTGTTATCACAGTTTTCCTTTCACTTTGCTGCTGTCACTAACCTTCTCAGGACCCCTGGAGACTTACTGTACGTATTTAATAATAATAAGCAGCAAGAAAACACACAAATTTTCACAGCACAATTTCCTGAGATGTAAACAACACGAGATTTATCAGTAAACTAAATGGAAGGGTGGATGGAATACACTCTTTCATACTCGCACATTCTCTCCTCTGAGAGACACGTGACTGATGTATAGGTATCAGCCTGAAAGGGTTGTCGGGTTGAAAAGCAAGTTGTTCGAGATGGGAGACGTTCGAGAACCAAGGTGTGACCGTAATTAACCCCATTTTACAGAAGCAGAGGTGAGCCTCAAGTCACACAGCTAAGATCCACACTCGTCCACCTCCAGCCCAGCCTTCCAGCGTGTCATTTTCTCCACTGCACGCTGCTCTCGGCGGCTGAGCCTGTCAGTGGAGGAACTGCCTAATTTTAACAACTGCATTCTGCCATGGTCTGTATGCACCCCCCTAAATTCATCTGCTGAAACTGAACCCCCAAAAGTGATGACATGAGCAGGTGATCAGGTCATGCGGGTGGAGCCTTTCTGCAGGGGGTTGTGTTATTATGAGCTCCACAGAGCCCCTCAGCCCCTTCCACCACGTAGGGGCACAATGAGAAGTTTGTGACCCCAAGAAGGCCCTTGTCCGAGCATGCTGGCACCCCGATCTCAGAGGTCCGGCCTCCACAACTGTTCTGGGGTCTAACCGCTGGTCTATGTGTAGATCTCCCTCCTCAGGGAGTGAGACAAGAACCCAGCTCTCCCCGGCTCCTCCCCTTACCCTGGAGGAGAGCTCTCTGGGGTCTGCTGATTCATATAACGATGATGTTTGTTTTTCTCAACATGGATATAGAAAAACATGGAGATGAAGCTGAAAGGGAAAGTTCGGTTGAGGAGCTTCAGCGACTTCTTCAGCATTTTCTTGGCAAGTACCATCTGGCCCATGTTAAAACAGACCTACAGGAAGGAGGGAAAGCAGTGATTCTGGTCTTAGTTGGTGTGTTCCAACAAGACAGCCTTTTGGAATTTTAATCAGAAGACGGTAAATTATGTCCCGGAGCAACCGCCCCGTGCATAGTGGTGTTTCCTGGATGTGTGCGTGGAAGGATGGTTGAATGACTAGCATTTAGCGTTTTTGGTGTGAATCCTCTACCTTGGAGAAAATGTTTAGCCATTCATGCCCATTTTGGGGGTCTGTTAGGACATTTCATAACAATGTCAAGAAAGACAAGGAAGACCTTGCTGCTGGCAAGTGACAGTGAGGAGGTTTGAGTCCTGGCGCTTGGGGTTCTGGAGTCTTGGAAAAGGAACTGGGGTAGAGGATGGGGGAGGATGTACAAAGTACAGGGGTGGTGTCTACTTCTTCTATGTACAGCCCCAATGGAAAATCACAGAAAAATTGTGTTTTTAATGGTTTCTTACCTGACCTTTGAGGCCATAGAAGGTGGCAGACTCAAAAGTATGACTCCAAGACTTTTCTTTCTTGAGGATTTTCAGCAACCTCTCTCCCTCATTCAAATATGTGTATGCCTGCAAAGATCGGAGGTGCTGAGTCAGCAGAGACCCAGACCACAGAGGGGCCATCGCCCCAGACTCCACTGAAGGAGGGGAACCGGGGGCCACTTCAGGTCTCCTCTCCGCCTCCACCCCAACTCCTGATTAGACAGGTCCTCCAAAGTCTAGACAGGAACAGGATGGGTAACACCGGCTGAAGACAGGGGCCACTTTCATGCCCATCTCTGTCCACTTTCATGCCCATCTCTGTCCACTGGATCAGAAATCTCCACATCTTCATGTTGTCACATAAGTCCCCTTACCTGAAATTTCTCCTTTGAGTAATTCCATCCCCAACCTCCCTTATTTCCAACAACACATTCATGGCCCTGACACAGCCCCACACCTACGAGAAGCTGGTCTCTGCTGTTGGGACCTGTTATGCCTCATCCCCTGTCCCTTTCCAGGGCCATCTTTGGGGAAATGGAAGAGGAAGGAAAGGCCCTGCGCAACGCTCCTCACTTCATCCTCAACCTCTTATGACTTTGTGAGGCAGGGCGTCCTGGCACATGTGACCTCCAAGGCAAGGTCAGACTGAAGAGGTGAAGCACTAAAGCTCCTCTCCCCACGTCTCCTGCAACCCAATGGACACGAGTGGGAGGCAGGAGGGAGACATGAGTTTGTGGCCAGCCCTGGTCTTACCAGACTTTGGGAGAGAAGGGTGCCAATGGCACATTCTGGCACCTTGCTCTGAGCTCAGCATCCTATCCTTGTCTCTCTGGCATTTCACTCCCTACAGGTTTAGCAAGTTGGCCCCAGGACTCCCCAAACCTTGTCTTCCTGGGACTCACTGGCCCTGTCCCCCTGGCCTACATATGTGTATCAAATGTGCCAAGGAGACTTTCATTCTTAACATACATGCTGAGAGAACTGGGGCTTCCTGACATTGGGAAGGGTTTTATTTTAAATGTTATGCAAATCTAAGGTGCAGGGTTGGTTGGCCTGCGGTGGCAGACCCCGGCTGGCTGCTGGCTGTAAGCTCTGGGGCAGGCCACCTGGGGGCCAGGGCAGGGGAGTCTGAGGCAGAGGCTGGCTGCTGGCTGTAAGCTCTGGGGCAGGCCACCTGGGGGCCAGGACGCAGGCCATGCTCCTCAGGTCTGTGAAGCTGGCCGAGCAGGGGAGTCTGAGGCAGAGATGTCAGGGAATGACATATGCCCTCCCTCCCCAAATATAGGGACACAATTCATGGCAGGTTTCTACAAATGACGCATATGCTATTCGCAATTTGTCCTCACCTTTTTTTTTTAATCCTCACCTGAGATTACTTTTCCATTGATTTTTAGAGAGAGTGGGAGAGAAAGGGAAAGACAGAGAGAAACATCAGTGTGAGAGAGACACATCGATTGGAATTTCCTGTCAGCAATTGATTGTCAAAGGAAGGTGTGCTGGTGGGTAGCAGGAACATGAGGAGCGAAGCGCTGTGCTCCCCGCTGCTCCAACTCTCTGCCTCAGGCTCCCGGAGGAGAGCTGGGTGGGAGCAGCTTACCATGTAGTTATCCTCCAAGATGAGATGCGCGGACGCGGCCTCGAGGAAGTAATACAAGGCTTTGCTGTTCTCTCCCAGAGCCAGAAAATGGTAGGCCAGCGGCATGACGGCCACCTCCAGGATCTCCTCGCACTGGCACGACTCCAAGGGGATGATGTCTTCCTGAGACGGCCTCATTTTTGCTATAATGATGTCAAAGAAATTCAGGATCCTTTCTTTTATTTCTTCGAAACTGTCCAAATGCAGAAATAAAGAGGAGGAATTACACGCAGAAACAGTATAGCTTTTGTTGTCGTTCATCCTCACCCAAGGATATTTTTCCATTGATTTTTAGAGAGAGTGGAAGGGAAGGGGAGAGACAGAGAGAGAAACATCTATGTGAGAGAGACACAAGAATTGGTTGCCCCCCAACTGGGGCCAGGGATTGAGCCTGCAACCCAGGTAGGTGCCCTTGACCAGAATGGAACCTGAGACCCTTGAGGCCTCAGGCAGACACTCTATAAACACTGAGCAACACCAGCGAGGACCAGTATAGCTTTTGAAATGAAAACATCTTTACAGACTAAGAAAAGAACAAGATAAGAAAAACTAATGTAGATCCAACTGACCAAACTCCCCCACACACCTCCAACCTTTCTCCACTTTGCCTCAGAGGCCAGAGGTACTGGCCAGACGGATGACTCTAGCAGTCTTCGGAACTGAATGACAGTCGTCTATGCTGTACCCCCTAAACACTTATATACATGCCTGGCATATTCTGGAAGTATCTCAGACTTTCTCAGACTCTCCACTTTGCAAAATTTGTCTTCTTCAGCTAGAAAAGAAACAAACGAGTTGTATGGGTCAGTGAACGCTTCTGCCCGGCACAGATGTCTGGTGTTTGGTTATAAGGGGCAGGAAACCTTGACTTCAAACTTTCAGTCACCCCTGGCCAAGTGGCTCAATTGGTTGGAGCATCATCCTATTCACCAAAAGGTTTCGAGTTTGATTCCCAGTCAGGGCACATGCCTAGGTTGTGGGTTTGATCCCTTGTTGGGGTGAGTAAAGGAGGCAACTGATCAATGTTTCTCACATCAATGCCTCTCTCTCTCTCCCTCCCTCTCTTCTCTAAAATCAATAAACATATCCTCTGGTGAGGATTAAAAAAACAACAACACAAAAAACCTTCAGTCCAGCCTAACTTAAATATGTTAGAAAATTCCATGATGACCTTAAAACAGAAAACAAATGAGGATTGTTTATTCTAGCCACTTCTCTATCTTGGGAGAAGGAAAACTCCCAGATCAGGAAAGGGACTTGTCTCAGATCATATTCTGCTGGCTTCAGGCAAATGCTTTACTCTGCAGATCTTTTAATTTATAAAAGGACAGTTGAAGCCCCTCGTTATCACCTTCTTCTGAAAGACTTCTGTGCCCCTGCTCCCACAGAATGAGTGCGCATCGACCTCTGTCAAGGTCCTGATCAGATGAGAGAGGGTTGGTTTGCCCACCTCCCTGGCCCCTGCTCCGAAACTGCGATCTAATATATCTCAGGGGACTGGGAGCTAAAGGAATCGAATGATGCCTCTATCCTTTCACTTAAACTGCTCTTGTCAAGGTTACCAGTGGCCACCATGTTGCTAAATCCAAAGGTCACATCTTTGTAACCTTTTCAATACAATTGATCACTCCCCTAATTAGTTTTGGTGACACCCATTCCCTTGCTTCTCTCCCTGGTGGCTCCTATGCCTCTGCCAACATTCCAAAGGTTGGTAAGCCCGGGTTTGGTCCTGGACTCCCTTCTCCATCCAATTTTTTTTATCAGTAATTTCATTTGCCCTTGACTTAAATTCCATCCATATGCCAACGACTTTCAATTGTTTATCTCATCTACCCTTAACTACAGAGCCATGAAAAACCCTCAACATTCTTTCCCAAATTCTGGGAGGGCAGTGCAATCCCAGTGTGGACACAGGCTGCTCCAGCCCTCTAGGGTAGGGTAGGCCTCGTCCTCTGTGTCCTGGAACTGATGCCAAGGAAGACACCTTACTAGGGCTGAGATAATGACATGGGGAACCTCGTGGGTTCTCACCAAGGACATTTCTTTATAAATCCAGGCCCTCTCCACACTCTTCCTTGTGTTTATGTCTTGGATCTGGAGGAACGCTCCAAGATTGTAACTGATTCTCAGCTATTTCCTTCATAAATTCTGTTTTTCCATCTATTTACCTCACTTTGGCTGGCAGCATCCATTGTATTTTAGTGCTTGGTACAAATTTCAATTTAAATATCATGTTACACATATACTACTTTTATAATAGTCATTTAAAGACATATTTCCAATTTCTCAAAACTGTAATGCATGGGGGGGGAGGGATGTAACATACTAGTACTAAACACTAGATTCGGCTATGTGTATGTTCCCTTGATGTCTTTCTTGTCCCAATGGGGTGAGATTACTAAAGGCTCATCATTTTTGTGCCCAAATGGGGACTTGAAACCCTCATGTACAGACTCAATATATATAGACTCAAAAACTCTTGACCTGATTTCTCTTTTAAAAAAAAATAATTTTTTTTCTTGATTTCAGAGAGGAAGGGAAGGAGGGAGAGATAGAACATCAATGATGAGAGAGAATCATTGATCGGCTGCCTCCTGCACGCCTTCTGCCCCTTGTTCTGTGGCATTACACAAGCTCTTTCATCTTCCAGAACCTCAATTTCCTCTTGTATAAAATGAAAATAACCCTCCACCTTTAAGCGTTGAAATGAAGATCCAATGACAATGCATATAAAATAGGGAACACATGAAAATAAGGACTTATGTTGTTCCTACTATGAGCTCGGCACCTCACATGCATTTCTTCCCAATTTTTAATATATGTATAATATAGGAATCCTCTACTTGTGGTCTCTGCTTTTCCAGGCAGATTTAGCCATCAATACTGTGGCCGTCGGCCAGGGCTACCTACCCAAGTGGGGGCTGGAGTGGGCGTTGCTGCCCTAAGTCTGACCCCATCATGCCTGCGGGAGCTGAGTCCCCGGGCCCATGAAGCCTCCACCCCCGAATCCTCCACTGTGTGTTCCCAGATGTTTGGCTGGTTTGTGTTATCAGTTTGGCTTCACGAGTGGCCTTGAATCCCAGCCCTGAGCCCGAGCTCTGTTCTCTGGAGCCCTGACCAGCTCGGCCCTGCACAGTTCTCTCCCACACATCTTCTTCAGCTGGAGCCTTGTTTCAAACTCCACCAACAAAACAGCAACGTTCTTACCTCCCTCGGGGACCTGTTGTTGCTCCCACTTCCCCATGTCAGGCCCCACCCCTAGGGTTCCATCCCTGGTGTGACTGAAGCTGGGTCTGTTTTATCGTTTGGACTTTTCAGTTTGAACTCTGGCCACACCCTGATCCTACCTACCTGTCTCTCTTGCAGGGAGACTGGTTTGGCTAGAATGCTAGACTCTACCACACAGATATTCCAGCTCCCCTGCCCGCCCCTCTGCTGTTGCAGTCTCATAACTCAGTGTGCCCACGCCCTAGGGGGGACTTGAAACCCTCACCTTCTCCAGGAATGGTTAGGGCTAATTAAGAAAGAAGTAAGTTTACTTTTAAATCCCTGGGATTTGGCCATCTTCTTGATGGAGTCCATGTCCAAAGAGTTGAGCCGAATGTCCACTGTGAAATGGTGATAGGGGATGAAGTCCCCACTGTGGCACTGGTCGCACCTGTGGGCATTTTCTTCTAAGAAGCGGGCACATTTCAAGTGCATGTCCACCTTCTGGTCCTTCAGCCACAGCTCGTAGGCTGTTTTCTGCATCATCGGCCTGCAGAACCGAATGATGTGGCACTCAATGACCTCGCTCTCCTGTTCATGAAGCGCTTCGCTCTCCCTGTGAGCTAGAGAGAACAGAGAGGGTTTTTCAGCCACATGGGGGTCAGGGAGTACGAACCTGGTCCCACTACTTACCGTGGATCAGCTCTGATTCAGATGTGCCTTTAACTAAGGAAATATGGGTTCCTTCCAGGCTCTACTCACCCTGTCCTTCAACGGGCTTCAGAGACAAGGAGCGATGATGCACCTCAAACGAGGCGGAATTCTGCTTTAGAGCCTTCCGGAGCTCCTTGCCATTCCGGAAACAATCAAAGATGTTGGATTCCACAAGAGTCGCCAGGGCGTTGATCATCCTCTTCATGTTCCAACACGGGAGAATCTCGAACAACAACTCCGTAGTAAAGGTCAGGCCAATGATGGCCGCACATCTTACCAACATCTGGTGGGAGAGGCTCATGCTATCCAGCTGGACCAGAGAGATTTCTGCAAGTGCAAGAAGCCACACGTTGGGGAACTGCTCATCTGTCTTTATCAAATCCTTTCTAGAGACAGACCACTGTCCTGCTCTACAGCTCTTGTTCACAGAAACCCCGCCAAGTGAGGTCCAAAGGACTGTTTGCTTAGTGCCTACTTCACCGAGCGCTGGCACGGAGAGCACGGAAAATGCATGTGCTATGGTCTAAAAATACGCATGGCACGAAGGCCAGGCAAAGATCAGACTGATTTCAAGGTTCTGATTTTGTGTGAAAGTGTGACAAGGATGGGCCACAGCAGGCGGGAGGAACAGGCCTGCCATCTGCATTCTGTAGCTGGTCCTCTATCTTCTTCACTGACTGCTTTCTCCTGGGATCTCCTAGCAATCAGGCTTCCCTCTGTCCTCCCCAGAGATTCTTTTTTCCTTGTGACACTCCATGACCATCTCTATGTTCACGACAAAGTGTCCGAGGGTTCTCAGCATCAATCCCAACTTGTCTTCTAAGCTCAGTGTCATAACTCACATGGCTTCCTGGACATCAGACCAGAATGTCACCACCTCACCCTCATCAGGGACAAAATGAGAACCTGTCAACTTGTCCACAGACTAGGCCACCTTCCTATGCTGGTAGACACAGTGAATGAAAACACAGAAATGAGCTAGAGGCTCTTTTGGAAGCTGAGAACCTTGAGGCACCCCTCGGTCATCCTTTGAAACATTTAAAGTTCCTTACAGCTGGCATAAATCAGAGCTGAGGACATACAAGGACGTGGCTGGAAAATCATTTTCTTTAAAAGAACAGTAACAGCCCTAACCGGTTTGGCTCAGTGGATAGGGCGTCGGCCTGTGGACTGAAGGGTCCCAGGTTCGATTTCTGTCAAGGGCATGTATCTTGGTTGCGGGCACATCCCCAGTAGGGGGTGTGCAGGAGGCAGCTGATTGATGTTCCTCTCCCAACGATGTTTCTAACTCTCTATCCCTCTCCCTTCCTCTCTGTAAAAAATCAATAAAATATATTTTAAAAATAAAAATAAATAAATAAAAGAACAGTAACACATCTCTGATATAAATTCTACTCTTTGCCATCTCTTACAAAAGCAGATGGTAGAAAAGTTTCAGTATTACCCTTGCTCTCTCCTTACGTGGTTTCTGTTTGAGAATGTACTTTGCGTGCAGCTGAAGAACACTTTGTTCAAATCAGACTCCAGAATATGCACAGGAGGGAGGTGGCTCCTAATTAGAAGCAGAAAAGTCCCACCTTCCTGGAGCCTCCCTGACCCAGGGCGACGCAAAGACAGCCACGCCAGGGTGCCGATCGTATCTCATTTCCAGATCCTTGTCCTAGAGCAGTGATGGCAAACCTTTAGAGCTCGGCGTGTCAGCATTTTGAAAAACCCTAACTTAACTCTGGTGCCGTGTCACATATAGAAATTTTTTGATATTTGCAACCATAGTGAAACAAAGACTTATATTTTTGATATTTATTTTATATATTTAAATGCCATTTAACAAAGAAAAATCAACCAAAAAAATGAGTTTGCGTGTCACCTCTGACACGCGTGTCATAGGTTCGCCGTCACTGTCCTAGAGGAAGCAGAGTGTGCCCAGGTTCTGGAGAATGAGCACCGGGTCAAGTTGTCTTTACCTTTTAGTGATGCTGGTGGAGACAAGTTCTTCAATCTGACACCACTGGCGAGTTTGCAGACTTCCTCACCTCCATCATCACCGAGAGTAAATGGTCTTAACAGCTCCGTTGGCTTAGCAACATTCTCTATCAGGAGGTAAAAGGCAAGAAAAGTTGTCATTGTTCTGTCATTATTCTGATTTTCTGATGCACTTTGAGGTGATCTCACATGAGGAAGAACAGGCAGATGTGTGTCTTGGCTCACCAAATAGTTTGGAATATTGTTTTTAAGTAAAACTGATATATGAAAAATCTACATTTATTCAAAAGATGTTTTGTCCTGCCCTTGGCCAATATCGCTCAATGATTAGAGCATTGCCCCATGTACCAAAGGGTACCGGTTCAATTCCTGGTCGAGGATATGTACCTGGGTTGCAAGTTCTGTCCCAGCCGTAGTTGAGGAAAGTGCGGGAGTCAACCAATCAATGTCTCTCTCTCACATCTCTCTTTCTCTCTCTGTCTCTCCTCCCTCCCTCTCTCTCTAAAAAAATCGATGGAAAAAATATCCTCAGGTGAGGATTAACAACAACAACAAAAAAGATGTTTTATCTCCTTGCCTGCCTCCCCGCCCAAACAAAAACTATTGAAAGTACATGCAGTTTTATAAAAATTTGATTCAAAGGTTATCACAAAGTATCTTATCTAATCTAATAAGAGAAACATGCAAATTGACCGCACCAACGCTATGCCCCAAGCCACGCCCACCAGCCAATCAGAGTGACTTTATGCAAATTAACCCAACCAAGATGGCGGCCAGCAGCCACGGAGCTGGAGCAAGCAGGAGGCTTGGTTGCCCCGGTGATGGAAGAAGCCAAGTTTCCCACCTGCCCTGGCCGGCTGTGGCCTCGGCTCAAGACAACAAAGTTTCAATTATAGAAGCTAAATAAATCCCAGATACCTGCTTCCAGCCAGCCTCCACTGGGAGTTTGGGTGGCTGGGGGCTGTGGCCAGCCGGCAAACAGCCATCAGCCCCTCACCCAGGATAGCCACACCCTCATGGGGTGAGGGTCCCCGCTGGGGGGCTTGGCCAGCCTGCAAACAGCTATCAGCCCTCACCCAGACTGGCCAGGCACCCCAGCAGGACCCCCCTCCCTGAAGGGGGTGTGGCCAGTCTGAAAACAGCCCTCAGCCCCTCATCCAGGCTGGCCAGGCACTCCAGCGGGACCCCCACCCTGATCCAGGACACCCTTCATGGCAAACCAGCCGGCCCCCACCCATGCTCCAGGTCTCTATCCTATATAATAAAAGGGTAATATGCAAATTGACCCTAACAGCAGAACCACTGGGAATGACTAGTCACTATGACACACACTGACCACCAGGGGGCAGACGATCAATGCAGGAGCTGCCCCCTGGTGGTCAGTGTGCTCCCACAGGGGGAGCTCTGCTCAGCCACAAGCCAGGCTGACGGCTGCCAGTACAGTGGTGGTGGTGGGAGCCTCTCCCGCCTCCTCAGCAGTGCTAAGGATGTCCGACTGCAGCTTAGGCCTGCTCCCCACTGGTAAGTGGACATCCCCCATGGTCTTCCAGGCTGCCAGAAGGATGTCCGACTGCCAGCTTAGGCCCATTCCCCGAGGGGTCCCAGACTGCGAGAGGGCACACGCCGGGCTGAGGGCCCCCCCCCCCCCCAGTGCACAAATTTTTGTGCACCGGGCCTCTAGTAGTATATATCATCATATATTTTAGAGAACCAAGATGGTGGCATAGGTAAATGCCAGTACTTGCCTCCCACAACCACATCAAAATTACAATTAAAATACAAAACAACCATCATTTAGAACTGCCTGAAATCTGGTGGAATGAAAGTCCTACAGCTATAGAAGTAAAGAAGAAAGTACATCAAGACTGGTAGAAGGGGTGGAGGTGCAGAATGACACTGACATGCAGGGTGTGTGTGTGTGTGTGTGTGTGTGTGTGTTTAATTGGGAGGGATATCTTCACTGCAGAGGCTTCCTGTGAGGCCTGTGAGAATCAAGGGGTCTCAGCACCACACCAGTTTCCCAGCCCAGGGTTCAAGAGCTGGGAAGAGAAGTCCCCATAACTTAGGGCTGTAAAAACCAGCAGGGATTGTGGCTGAGTGACACAGAGGCTGATGGAGCCCCAGGCAGATCCTCTTAGAGGGATGGTACATGACCTTACATGGTCTGCTTCCTCTGAGCAATAGCTGGGGGAGAGCCAGGGACATAGGGGGAGGAACTGGATTGTCCAGCATTGGGGCAGGAACTCGGAGGCTGCTTTCTCCCTGACCATGGTGCTCGCAGGGGTCATTGTTCCTGTGCTGGAGCTCCCCTGTCCCAGAGCAGACTGGCAGCCATATCTGAGTTTTTATCAGCATGGCCCACACTGTTTGTTCCACATTGATGATTTCCTTAGACCCTGCTCCATCCAATCTGCAGTCTAACCTAAGCTGTTTGCAGCAACTTTTCCAGATGAATGGCCTGTCCTGGTTCAGACTTCAGACTTTGCTAAAATCTCTCAAACAAGCATCCCTGGTGTCAGCATGTCCCAAACCTATCAATGAAAAGCTCAAGACCTGGCACTAGCACCAGCCTACCTTGCTTCACAGCTCGACACTTCTAAGTAGCAGCCACCTGCAGATCTCTCTGTAGCTCCTGCCAGGTGACCCCAGGCAGTGGCTGATTTTACACCTCCCTGGAGGCCCTAGAGCCAGTGCACCAGGTGGATAGCTTCAGACCACATCAGATTACAACTCTACATATTCACAAGTGACATACTCAAGGGGGAAGACTCAGTGAGCACCAAAGCCCAAATGAAGCAAGTCCTGTTCCATAAGGGTGTCTCCTGCACAGCAGCTCTTCCACTATAATCACAGCTGACCCTCACAGCCAATTGGCCTGGGGGTCAATTCCTCCCAATGATATAAATAGCAATCAAGGCTTAACCACAGTAAGACAGTGCACACAGCCCAAACAAGGGCACACCTAGAGTGCCCAGCTCAGGTGATGGGTGGGGGGGGAGGGGGGCGGGGCTGATCCATGGGTCCTACAGGATACATACTTCACAAAGCCCCTCTACCAATTCCAAGAGACATAGCAGTTCTACATAATACAAGAAACAAACACAAGGGAAGCAGCCAAAATGTGGATACAAAGAAACATGTCACAAATGAAAGAACAGAAGAAATCTCCAGAAAAGGAACTCGATGAAATGGAAGCAAGCAAACTACTAGGTACAGAGTTCAAAATAATGGTTATAAGGATGCTCAAGGATCTTAATGAGCGCTTCAAGGGACTTTGTGAGAATTTCGAAGATTTTAGTGAGAATTTCAAGGACATTAGGGAGAACATCAAAGAAATGAGAAAGGACCAGTCAGGAACGAAGGATACACTAACAGAAATGAAGAATAATTTATAGGGAATCAACAGTAGAATAGAGTATGCAAAAAATCAAATCAGTGATTGGAATATGAGGAAGCAAAAAACACCCAACCAGAAGAGCAAAAAGAATTTTAAAAATGAAGATAGTATAAGGAGCCACTGGGACTTCAAGTTGTTAACATTTGCATCATGGGGGTGCTAGAAGGAGGAGAGAGAGAGCAAGAGATTGCAAACCTATTTGAAAAAATAATGACAGAAAACTTCCCCTACCTGGTGAGAGAAATAGACATACAAGTCCAGGAAGTTCAGAGAGTCCTAAACAAGAGGAACCCAAAGAGGCCCACACCAAAACACATCATAATTAAAATGCCAAAGGTTAAAGACAAAGAAAATCTTAAAAGGAGCAAGAGAAAAGCAGTTAGTTACCTACGAGGGAGCACTAATAAGACTGTCAGCTGATTTCTCAACCAAAGCTTTGCAGACCAGAAGGGAGTGGCAAGAAATATTCAAAATGATGCCGAAACCGGTTTGGCTCAGTGGATAGAGCGTCGGCCTGCGGACTCAAGGGTCCCGGGTTCGATTCCGGTCAAGGGCATGTACCTGGGTTGCGGGCACATCCCCAGTGGGAGATGTGCAGGAGGCAGCTGATCGATGTTTCTCTCTCATCGATGTTTCTAACTCTCTATCCCTCTCCCTTCCTCTCTGTAAAAAATCAATAAAATATATTTTTTTAAAAAAATGATGACTAGCAAGGACCTACAACCAAGATTACTCTAGCCAGCAAAGCTGTCATTTAGAATTGAAGGTCAAATAAAGAGCTTCACAGGCAAGAAAAAGCTAAAGTTCATCACCACCAAACCAGTATTACATGAAATGTTGAATGTTGAATAAGAATAAGAATAAGAATAAGAATAAGAATGAGGGGGAAGAGGAGGAGGAGGAGGAGGAGGAGGAGGAGGAGGAGGAGGAGGAGGAGGAGGAGGAGGAAGGAAGAGGAGGAGGAAAGAAGAGGAGGAGGAAGAAGGAAGAGGAGGAGGAGGAAGAGGAGGAGGAGGAAGAGGAGAAGAAGATGAAAAATATGAACCAAAAAATGGCAATAGATACTTATCTACCAACAGTTGATAGATATCAAAAAGTCAAAATAAATGAACAAAGAATCTAATGAACAAAATAAACTGATGAATAAAATAGAACCAGAGGCATGGAAACATGAAACAGACTGACGAATCTCAGAAGGAAGGAAAAGATCTTATATGCATGTATATATCACTTATGGACACAGACAATAATGTGGTGAAGGCCTATGGTGGGGTGGGCAAGGGCACAGGGGAGGGGAGAATGTGGGGAAGAAAGGGGGACATTGTAATACTCTCAACAATAATGACTTAAAAAAACATATATTTTACACATGTTCAATACCCTCACTCAGGTGCCAATGCATTCATGAGGAGACGGTACTCTACTTGTGACTTGGTTAGGATCAGAAAGAGATATCAGAAATGGCAAGGCCTGAATAGTAAACTTGCCTAGTAATGTTGCCTTCTGGGACTCGAAAATGCTATGTTCTCCCGCTGTCAGAGGTATCAGGTCCCACAGTCCTGGACTCCCCCAACCCTCTGTCCCTTGTGGAAGCCGCCCAGGGAAAAGCCCACTCTTGCTGCCCTCTCTGCAGAAGGACAGGGGAAGAAGTCGCTGTGGGACTCACTGAACAGGTTATTCCAGGTCACGTTTGCCTTTTCCTCAGACTCCATCGGTTGGAAAACAAGCACCCTGTGCTGGTCAAGGTTTTTCAGCAATTCTTCGCAGTAAAAGGGGATCCCACAGCTTCCCTCCACTAGGTACCTGTAGTGAACACAAGGCAACCTACTTACCTGGAAGAGCCGCCTTTCTAGATGGAACAATATTTGAGTCTTCACAATCACTTGAAAATAATCTCTTCGCAGTCTCAATGGCTTTTCTTTCTTTTGTCTAATTACCTACAGCATTGACCATCTGTCCAAAACCAAAACTATAAAATAAGGGACATCCTCAGTCTTGCTTCCCTTCCTCACCTCATAAATGGCCATTTTCATTAATTTCTGGTTTATATTTTCAATGTTTCTTGCAGAAGCAAGACATCCTCATTAGAAAGAACCTCGGCAGAGACCAGGTGGGCTGCAAACAGCCAGCTAAAGGCGAGGTGTTGTTCGTGTGCTTCAGGGGACACCTGTCAAGCCCCAGGAGGAGGTGACTGAGCGGCTCAGGAGGCACTGACTGAGCGGCTCAGGAGGCATTGACTAGACAGCCAGCACCAGGCCACACCGCTGCCTGCCGAGCAGGACCTCGATTAGGTGCAGGTTGTGGTCTTTCATGTTTACCGTTTTGACTTTGGAGTCACTTGCTCATGACAATGTCCTAAAACTAGATTAGAGTAGAACTCACGTCCAGCAAGATGAAAGGGAAACAAATTGATGTCCCCACGCAGTCTGAGCAGGCACCCCAGGGACTATAACAAGGAAAGGAGGACAGCATCCCTCCTACCAGCCTGTGGGATGGCCCCTTTGAAAGGCGGCCCAGCAAGAACGCTGAAATAGTCACTTTAAGCCGCATCTTAAGGACTCTGGTGAGGTCTGGACCTGCGTAGTGAATGCAGATGCCTTTCAGGACAGAACAGGTTACTCACAAGTCCAGTTCTTTGGGGATGCCCTTGACATTGAGGTCCAGGCAGACCTTGTTGCGGATGTCGCCGGGCTGCACGGCGCCGATGGTGATGTAGGTGGTGTTCCTGTTCTTTATTATGGCGCTGGCAGCTTCACAGGGCACGTCGAGGAACGGAGACAGGGACATGATGATGAAGATAGGGACGTTCTGGATAAGCTTCTCCAGAAAGGCCCAGGAGGTCTTGTCCACAAACTGGGCCTCATCGATGATGAAAATAATCCTTTCCTGTTTCACTGTCTGGACAAGGTACAGAAACAGGAAGACAAATGCTGTGGGACTTCGGGGTTTTATCCACGTGTGGGTCTGCATGAGGACCCCTGGGTTGTGTGGGGCTGAATTAAATATTTTATTCCCAACAAAGCTGAATTCAGATGCCAGTAACTTGGAATTTGTGGCAAATTGGAGAGAGCTGGCTGGAATGGACTCTTACTTGGGCAAATCTTTGTGCAAAGATAATACAAATTTGTAGGGGAGATGGGACTGTGGCCCAGTAAAAGCACCCATTCCATAAAATAAGCATCTTTTACTACAAGTCATTTTAATCTATTGGAAAATGAAGCCTCTCGGGGATATCGACTCACCGGCTGCACGCACCGGCCACAAGCACCAGCCACACGCACCGGCCACACGCACTGGCCAAAAGCACGGGGCTGGGTGCTGCAGAGGCTGCGCTCGAGGCAGCAGAGCCAGTCCTGCACGCCGGCACCTGCTGCTGCTCCAGCTGGAACTCTGCGTGGGTCACACTAAAGACAGATCCCATAACCCTCTTCTGTGCAGACTTTCCCTGCCTGGTCTGCATTATTTATTTGCTCACTAGCATCGATTGGGTACCTGTGAGGGTCAGGCGCCATCTAGGTGCTGGGGCACAAGTTAGAGTCAGCCCTCGCCTCGTGGGCCCTCATTTCTGCCTGGGAGGGATGTCGGGACAAACCTGCCCCCCTCTCACAATCCCAAGCTGCCCCTCTCACTGCCCTAAGCTGCCCCCCCGTCACCGTCCCAGGCTGCCCCCCTCTCACCGCCCCAGGCTGGGTTAGCTTCTTGTGGTTCCTTGTGAGAAGAGATGAGGTTATCCATTCTTCTCCTCTATGTTTTTAATAAAAGCAGCAGCCCTAGACAGTTTGGCTTAGTGGATAGAGCGTTGGCCTGCAGACTGAAAGGTCTCAGGTTTGATTCTGGTCAGGTTAAGAGCACAGGCCCGAGTTGCGGGCTGGATCCTCAGTAGCGGGTATGTAGGAGGCAGCCAGTCAATGATTCTTTCTCATCATTGATGTTTCTATTTTTCTCTCCCTCTCCCTTCCTCTCTGAAATTAACACCTATAATAATAAAAGCATAATATGCTAGTTAGACTGGAAGACCTTCCGGACGAAGCCGGGACCCGAGGGAAGCCCAGGCCCCGGGTGCCAGAGGGCAGTCGGTGCCGGCAGCCTGGGGCAGGAAGGCCTACTCTTGCACGAATTTCATGCATTGGGCCTCTAGTCTATATATAATCAGCAAAGGCTACTTTAACACTTCAGATCTCCCAGACATTCATATTGAGTATTATAACCTGCCTTGTAGCACACACGTAAGAAGTTTACTCTGACAGCCCTTCACTGACCCAGAGAAATTTAATTAATGGTGGTGTCAGTGTTATCTGTGAACCGAGGAGAGTAGAGTAGGAAACAAAACAGCATGAATTTGAGAGTCCATCACTGGCCCCAGTTCTTCAATTTTAAAGCGAGGACAGTGTATTGGATTCTCTAATGTGAGTAGAAGCAGCATGGATGCTATGCCCACGCTCTTCACATAAACTAACTGGCTGAGTCCTCAGAACGCTCAGGGGAGGTGGTACTGCTGAGTGTCCTTAGGCACAGGTTAAATTCAGACAGGTTAGGTGACCTGCCAAGGCCACAGAGCAGCGGTTCTCAACCTGTGGGTCGCGACCCCTTTGGCAGTCCAATGACCGTTTCACAGGGGTCATCTAAGACCATCCTGCATATCAGATATTTACATTATGATTCATAACAATAGCAAGATTACAGTTATGAAGTAGCAACGAAAATAATTTTATGGTTGGGTCACAACATGAGGAACTGTATTTAAAGGGCCAGAAGGTTGAGAACCACTGCCACAGAGTAACCGATACAAAGATTGTCATCACAGCCTACAGTGAAAGCACATCTTTAGTGGTAGTTTCCAAACTAAACTGCGCATTAGAACCAATTGAGAAGTTTTAAAACAAAGGCACAAAGCTGAACAGATCCCTAAGCCCAACCCAAGCCCTGCTGGATCTTTGGGGGTAGGACTCGTAGATCTGTCTTTTCTAAGAAGCTTCCTGGATACTGGTGATGTACCTGGTCCAAAGTCTGGTGTCAGAAACTACCCAGACTGCCTAGCTTATTTGCCTGGATAGAGAAGGGGGGTGTTGAATTGTAAACCTGATTCAATGCCACATGTATTCTATGCTAGTGATCAGTTATTATGTGCCAAAAACAATGCTGGCCAATAGTGCTGTAGCCATGAGCAAGAGACTCCCGTCCCTAGAGGCTCACAAACACAGTGGGGAAAGTTCAACCAGAAATATGTTCAAAGTGCCACAGAAGCAGGTAGAAGAGGCGTTAGTCATGCCTAGTGATTTGGGAAGTTCTCACCAAAGAGGTGACACTGAAGGATGAGTAGCATTTCTCCAGGTTAAAATATATATATTGGTTTTTATATTGGTTTTTATCTCATTAGCAATGGGAATTACTCAGAGAGTATGAAGTGTATATTATTGGATTTGCATATACTCTGGCACTTATATGGAGGATGAATTGGGGTGAAAGAGGTGTGAGGTGCAGAGATTGGTTGGAAAGCTATGACAATGGTCCAGAAGGAGCCTGATACAGCGGGGGGCAGAGCATGGGGGATTCCAGAGACCACCCAACGGAGAAATAGGAGGACCCAGCAACTGAGTAGACGTGTGGATGTGGCAACTGGTTAGGAGGGGAGCAAAGAGGAAAGGAGTAAACGATGCATGAATGAATTTACCATGAGCTAATCAAGGATCGGGATCAGAATGAGGAAGAAAGGGCATTGGAGTAGGAAACAAATAAATTTACTACTAGCCACTGAAATGAGTGGGAGTTACTACATCCTTGTGTAATATATGTCCTTGGAAATGCGGTCTGGTACTTGTGAGAGTGGTGGGAACTGGAATATAGATTTGGTGACCATCAACATACAGAGAGCGCTAACACTGGTTGAGTGTTTCATTTCAGCCTTACAACCCTGGGACTAGGTACGACTGTTTCTCCATTTTACACGTGCATAGGCAGGTTAAGTCACTTGTTTGAGGTTCCACCCTTGGTAGTCTGCTGCAGAGGCTACATACAAGCCACTCACATGTACTGCATCTCTTACAGATGGGAAACCAAGGGGGTAGTTTTAAGGAGAGGCCACACTCCCAGGAATAATGTTAAGGAACTATGTTCAAGTTTAGCATAATCTGAACTCACAGCCTGGGGCAGTGAGAGGGGGGCAGCCTGGGGCTACGTTCTAAATGGACTCTGAGCTCAAAGTTTGGAAGGATGGAGGAGAAAGAAAAACTTTAGGATACCAGGTTTCCCACAATTCAAAGCTTCCTGCCCCTCAGGTCGCCCAGCTCTGTGATGCGATGCCCAGTTTTCCTCCCCCCATTACTCGACCCGCAGATGTTCTTACTTTCTCCAAGATCTTCATAAACAATGCTTCCAGCTGCTTTTGCTTTCTCAAGATGCTCATCTTGGACACCTCTCGTGAGGTAGGGAACTGTGTGAAGAATAATTCGAACATTAACGATGGGAAACAGCAAAGGGGGCCACTAGCTGTGTGACTTTGGGCAAATCACTTCACTGTTATGTGCCTTCAAATCCTCATGTGTTAGATAATCCATAATGTCCTCTCCAGCTTTAATACCCTTTGTCACTGGATCTAGTAGATACAGGAACGAACAGGGCACACTCGGTCCTGCACTGGCAGGCACCGTTGGAGCAGAGGCGTGGGCTAGGATTGCACAGCTTTGATAGAAAGGCGAAGAAAAAAGAACCAACAGGTAGCATTTGGATTTTCTTGAGTGTGACATTTCTAGACACCTCCACTATGTCTCAGTAAGGGGAATGCCATTCAGGGAAGATTGGGAGGCACTTCCTCACCACACAGATTCTCCAGGTGAGAACAGAAAAGGGTATCACAAGTCAAAGAGATGCCAGGTCACAAAGAATCGGTGAAGAATTGCTTCACCTGCCCCATCACTATTCCTTGAGGAAGTCTTACACTAGGTAGTTACCTGGACATGGAAAATGTCATTAAAGATACAATGGAATTTCTCATCCAACAGTGTCTTGACTTTATTTTCAATGTTGGTCTGTCGTTCCTTGTAGTGTTTACAAGCATCCAGACCTAAGACATTGGCCATGAGTATCTGGATGGTATAAAAAGTTTGATGGAAGCTGATCTTAGTCAAGGCAATAGCAATAGTCCTGTTTATAAGAAAGTCAAGAATCAGAAGAGAGTTTTAAAATATATACATATTTTAAATATGTTTCTATTGATTTCAGAGAGAGGAAGGGAGAGAGAGATAAAAACATCAATGAGGAAAGAGAATCATTGATCGGCTGCCTCCTACATGTCCCCCTCTCCCCACAATCAGGGCATGTGTCCTGATCAGGAATTGAACCGAACTGTGACCTCCTGGTTCAGGGGTCAGAGCTTAAATATATTTTAGGAAATTAATAAAGGTTGAAGGCAAGCTCTGACTCTTCATATTCAGTTGTCCTACCAGCAACTCCCTAAGCGATCTGCAAGCCTTTCTTAATTCTGCTTCAGATACTCGGCCTGATCCACTGGGTTCCTAAGCCCAGGTCGGTTCGCCTTCTTCCCCAGGCCTACCACCTCCACCTTGATGCATGCCCTCATCCTCTCACCAGTGCTACCCAGTGGCATGCCTCTTGCCCTGCCTGGCATCATGACACTGAATGCATTATATTCACAGAGGCTATTGTTTCTAGATAGATGCAAATCTTCTCTCCCACTTAGGATTTTTCTGTGGCTCCCATCCTCGAAGGCAGTGGTTCTCAACCTTCCTAATGCCACGACCCTTTAATACAGTTCCTCATGTTGTGGTGACCCCCAATTTCATTGTTACAAATTAAACATAATTAAAGCATAGTGATTAATCACAAAAACAATATGTAATTATATATGTGTTTTCCGATGGTCTTAGGCGACCCCTGTGAAAGGGTCGTTCGACTCCCAAAGGGGTCGCGACCCACAGGTTGAGAACCGCTGCTCTAAGGGGTAGGTCTGGACTCCTCTCTGTGACATACAAGACTCTCCAAGGCCTCATATGTGCTTTCTTGCCACTCTGTTCAGCAGCCTATCCTCCACCACTAACAGACAGCACAGGACCATCTACTCTCTCCAGGCCTTCGCTTCCGTGTCTCCCCAGCTGGAGTGTGATCACGTCCCACAGCGCCTCCCAGTCCTCGCTTCCCGCTCATCTGTGCATCTCAGTTCAGGTGCAGCCTCCTGCACTCTTCCCTGATGTCCCAAGTTTGGGTCACACAGGCCTCTCCCTCAGCTCCCACCACACTCCCTAGGATGCCTCTGTCATTGTCCTTTCCACATCCCATTTCTATTGTCATCTCTCTTCTGTGAGAGCTCCCACAGGGCGGGAGTCAGATGTCCTTCATCTTCGGGGCATCGGCACTTGTTATGGGTTGACTCACGCCCCACCCAAATCCATATGCTGAGTCTTAACCTCCGTACCTCACAATGTGACCTTGTTTGGCAACAGGGTCATTGTAGATGTAATGAAATTAAGACAAGGTCCGGCTGGAGTAGGGTGGACCCCTAATCCAATATGACTGTGTCTTTATAAGGGGAAATTTGGAGACAGGGAGAATATCATGCGACGATGAAGGCAGAGGTTGGGGTGATGTTTCCATAAGCCAAGGAACACCAATAATTGCACCAGAAGCCAGGGGAGAAGCACAGACAGGTTGTCCCTCATGGCTCTCAGAAGGAACCGACCCTGCTGACACCTTGCTCTCAGACTTCCAGCTTCCAGTAACGAGAGGATAGACTTCTGTTGATGAGCCACCCAGTTTGTGGTACTTTGTTACAGCAGCTCTCGCAAGTGGAGACAGAACTTAACAGTTCCTGAAGCATAGTAGTAACTCAGTAGTAACTCAGTAATGGAATGAATGTCTTCTGATTGTTATGAATTATCTCCTTAACAATGTTAAAGATATTTTAAAACAGGCCTCTCTCAGGCCTGACATTAAAAAGAGTAGAAGTACAGCTAGAAATAATGTAAGGCCACTAAGCATTTTCCCCTTAAAGCCTTCAGGTTGGGTGGTGGAAGCAGTGAGACCTCGGCATGTGGTCACCATCACTGCTACTGAACCCCATGCTGACCACAGTGAGGGTACTCGATGGGTTGTCCCACAGAGAGCCCTCATGACATTCACGCTATGAGAGGAGGCAAGCAGTATGAGGTCAATACACTAGCTTTGCCTTCCCAAGGAAAATTCAGAGGCCTGTCATTGTCGCTCCCACTCCTGGACAGAGCTGAATGGTGTGAACCCGTGACTGTCAGCCGGCTGGATAAATGTATGCGCTCGTCCTGCACACCCACCCTAGCCTGGTCTCCACCTCTTCCAGCTGCTCTCCACCTGCCTGCACACTGGCCTTAACCAGGAAGCTCTAACATATGATATCCAAGCTCCACCTGGCATGCAATCAGGGTCTCTGGGGGTCGGCAGGCTTCTCATTGTCTTGGTTCAATATGATTATCATTATTTATTTATTTAGCACAAGGGTGCATGGCACCCGTAATGGACAGGTGGTGTGTAGTTTACATGATGCAAATTATATAAAGGAGAGGGACTTTAAAAGAGGTGAAACTTTTAAGGACATCAGGATTCTCTGGGTGGACAAGAAATAAACGGTCATCGCCAGACACTCACCTGTGGTTCTCACCTTGGGACAGGTACTCAATCTCCATGAGTATCTGGCTTTTTCCGTAGCCCGACAAGCCTTCGTACATGAGGATGCGGCTGCAGTTGGACATCAGAAATTCCTTCATATTGCACCTAAAGTATTTCAGCTCCTTCTCACGTCCTGTCATTTTTATTTTTTTAAAAAGAGAGCGAACCCAGTCAAGATAAAATAGTGGAGAGACATAAGAAGCACATAGTGACACGACACCTAAGGAGACCTTTGGGATTTCCAGGGCATCGTTCATGGACTCTCGTGAGGTTCTGCACACTTTGAAATGTTTTAACATCTTTTTCTAGAGCTTTCCAGTTGTGACTCCCAATAATGCACATTATATATGCGACTCTTATAATGCGCATTAAAACGTCCATTGAATTTTAGTGCAGGATAGTGAGGTGCGCTGGAATCGCACAGCCAGGAATGAAACCAGGGATCGCTGACTTCAGTTCTTGTTTTCCCTCCCTTTTCCTTTTTTTCCTATAACACAGTGGAAGTCATCTAAAGATTATTACACTAGGAACTACATTTATTATAGTTAGGGTTTCTATATTGAATGATTATGGATAGAATATTTTATTTCCAATAATTTATTTCCAATCTGCGAAGGAAACTTGCTCTCTGTGAGTGAGAAATTATACTTATCTCAGGGCTACTAGAAGCATTATCAGTGATAAGAAAACTCAACTTACTTTAAAAAAGCATGTAGACTTATTCCTAAGAACAACCCAAATTTTTAGTAAAAATAAATGTTAGGGTTTTTTATTCTTAATGTAACAAATGTTCACTGTAGAAAGTATGGAAAATGTAGAAAAGAAAAAGAAGAAAATTGAAGTCAGCTTGGGTTGCAGCCCTGTCACTATTACTTGGTGTGTTTTTACATATATGTAACGGGGTGCCCAGATTAAAATCTGAAAGTCGGCCACAGCCTTTGAAACCTGGACGGGAAGGAACAGGCAGGACTGAAATGCCAAGGGAGCGAGCACAACCTGTCAAAAGAGCTGAAGGCTCATTTGGGGCCAAACCTTTTCTGGCCAGCTCCCTGTGGAAGGCCAGTCTTGTTTTCCATTGATTAACAGAAGGCACGTGTAATTATATGATACATCATTTCATCAACATGATTTTTTAAAACGGCCTAAGAAATGGAGGGTGTCAGGGTCTTTGGGGGGAGGGTGTCAGGGTCTTTGCGGGGAGGAGGGTGTCAGGGCCTTTGGGAGAGGAAGGTGTCAGGGTCATTGGGGGAGGAAGGGTGTCAGAGTCTTTGGGGAGGAGGGTGTCAGGGTCTTTGTGGGGAGGGAGAGACCAAGCACGTGGGGTGCGAGAGACCAAGCACGTGGGGTGTCCTGAACACTGCTCTTTTTCTTAGTTGGCCTGGATAGTGATCAGGGGTTCGTTGGTGATAATTGGCGCACTGTTCTGCATGTGTTGTTATAGTTCACTAGGGGAGTTTAGAAATCAAGGCCCACTACCTACCGAGCAGAGGGTAAGCCTCATTCCTGTTGCAGATGAGGTAGGCCATACCAAACATGCTGAGGAGAAGAACAGAGATGTTAGAGTCACAGCAGGGCGGGCTGAGAGCAGGCTGCTTGGTCCCAGGGAGCCTCCTTTCTAGTCTCTAACTGACTGCCCCTGGCTCACGGGCTGCAGATGCCAAGAGGAGGAGAAAGAGGTGTTCTTACCTGGCGATAGAGTCCAAGCGACTTACAGCCGCCTTCATCTCAGCCCCGGGGACCTTGTTCAATAAGTGCTTGCAGAGTCTGTCCCCGCTCACCTTTGTTGAGCACATGCCACGTGCCTGGCAGTTTTGAGTACTTTACATATATCATTTCCTTTGCTCCTGACAAAACCTTACTAAGGAGATACTATGATTATGTCCATTTACAAGTGAGGAAATGGAGGTGCAGAGAGTGTATCTTGCCCAAGGTCCCGTGTCTGGTGGTGACTAGGCAGGGCACTCATGCCTGATCACTGCATATTCTCTCTTGAAGGAGCCTTTTGGTTAAACAGCGCATTCCTGGTCTCTATGTCGTACTACGTGGTTCCGCCTGGTATAGCAACAGCAATCTCCCATGGGAGGTCCTGTTCATATTTGTATGTGTATTTCTACACTCTTTTTTAAAAATATGATTTTTAAAAAATTATTGATTTCAGAGAGAGGAAGGGAGAGGGATAGAAACATTGATGATGAGAGACAATCATTGATCGGCTGCCTCCTACATGCCTCCTACTTGGGATTGAGTCCCTGCAACCCTACCACCCAGGCACGTGTCCTGACCAGGAATCAAACCGTAACCTCCTTGTTCATGGGCCAACACCCACCACTGAACCACACTGGCTGGGCTCCACACTCTTATTTGCAGAGATGGTGGAGGAAAATCACGAAGTGGCAGGCTCTGGGGTCCGGCAGTCTGGGCTTCTGTGGCAGGCTGACCTCTGCAGTATCTGTGCCCTCTGCTAGGTAACGTGCAGTGCCCTCCCCACTCTGGGCTCGGCCGTGTGAATGTTTCAGCCAACAAGATGCCAGCAAACACGACACCGAGGCTTGAAAAATGCTTGCGCCTTGGGCTCTCTCTCTTGCTCTTCTGATATGGCCGAGACAGTGGGAGAGGACGAGACACCTAGAGCCGAATTGTCCCATTTATGCCAATCAAACTGCCCACTTATCCCACCTGCGGTCCTCCTGGGTCTGCCAACAACCTGCTAAACCCCAGGCACGTGAGAAGCTGAGGCTAGCTGAGCTGAGTCCAGCCCAGGTCAGTTGAAGCCACTTCTCTGTAAGGTCAGTCAATGTGTGCTGTACCCACGAGCTTTTGTGGTTGCTAAAGAAGCGGCATTGCTGTGGCACGCTGAACCTGGTCTCCACTGCTCACTAGATTTGTGACCATGAACAAGTCATTTAACATCTTTGAGCCTTAGTTTTAAAATTTGTAAAATGGAGAAAATAATAGTTTCTATCTGATATGGTTGATATTAGGAATACATTATAGCCTGGCCAGTGTGGCTCCATGCTTAGATAGCTGGCCCACGCACTGAAGAGTCGTGGGTTTGACTCCCGGTCAAGGGCATGTATCTGGGTTGCAAGTTTGATCCCTGTTCCTACTCAGGACACGTGCGGGAGGCAACCAATCAATGTGTCTCTCTCACATTGATGTCTCTCTCTTTCTCTCTCTTCCTCCCTCCCTCCCTTCAACTCTATATAAAATCAATGGGAAAAGATCCTCAGGTGAGGATTAAAAAAAAGAAAGAAAGAAACATTAAAGTCTTGGCTGGTGTTCTCAGTGGTTAGAGCGTCGGCCCTTGCACCACAGGTCTCCGGTTTGACTCCTGGTCAGGAGCCTCTCTCTCTTCTCTTCTCCTCTCCTCTCTCTTCTCTCTTGCCATCTCTCTCTCTCTCTCTCTCTCTCTCTCTCTCTCTCTCTCTCTCTCTCCCCTGCCCTCCCACTCTCTCTAAAAATCAATGGAAAAAATGTCCTCAGATGAAGAGTAACAACAACAAAAAGAATATATTGTATATTTTGAGATAAAGTGCCTAATATTTAATAAGGGCTCACAAAAATTATTACTATTCATTCACTTATTCAAGTAGCATTTTATTGATGGTCTAAACATGCCAAGTACAGCGCTGAGCCCTGGGAATACAAAGGTGAATAATAAAGACTCCTTGAATCTACTGTAGCCCCAATTCTGCTATCTGGCCCTTTAAAACTTAGATTCCAGCTGGTTAATAAAGGGTGTCCCAAAATTCACGCAAGAAGTAATTTTGATAGAAAACACAGGTTTATAATTAAAAATTGTAAATATTTTATTGATTCACAAAGTATACAGTATAGGGTTATGTATGGAATAGAAAACTGGATTATCATGTCTTGATAGTGAGCACCATTAACTGTTATTGCCTGAGCAGCCGCAATTTCGAAGAAGAATGGTCCGATGATGCCTCCAGCCCAAAATCCGCACCAAACAGTGACACGTTGTGGATGCATTTGTTTCTCAACAATCACTCGTGGATTTTCTGAACCGCAAATGCGACAATTTTGTCGATTAACCAAGCCATCAAGATGAAAATGAGCCTCATCGCTGAAGATGATTTTGTTCGAAAAATCAGTATCCACTTGTTGTTGTTCCATATCCATTCAACGAACTCTATTCGCTGTGCGTGGTCAGTAGGCTTCAGTTCTTGAGTCAATTGAACTTTGTAAGCATGAAGATGCAAATCTTCCGTGAGAATACGCTGTTGAGAGCTCTCGAAATGTCCAATTCTTGACCACGGTGCCGAATTGATGTCCCTGGACTCTCAGCAATACTCTCACGAACTGCTTCGGTGTTTTGTGTTGAACGATTTGTTGAAGGATGGCCAGCGTGTTTAAGATCACTAATTGATCCACGAGTGATTGTTGAGAAACAAATGCATCCACAACGTGTCACTGTTTGGTGCGGATTTTGGGCTGGAGGCATCATCGGACCATTCTTCTTCGAAATTGCGGCTGCTCAGGCAATAACAGTTAATGGTGCTCACTATCAAGACATGATAATCCAGTTTTCTATTCCATACATAACCCTATACTGTATACTTTATGAATCAATAAAAAATTTACAATTTTTAATTATAAACCTGTGTTTTCCATCAAAATTACTTCTTGCGTCAATTTTGGAACACCCTTAAGAATAATATGTTTGCGCTTTCCATGCGAGTCATTCATTCACTCATCAGTGTCGAGTGCCTGCTGTGCACCAAGCACTGGGGATATAAGAATGAACAAGCCATAATCAGATCCTCAGAGAGCTTTCAAGGCAGCGGGTGGGCAGTCGTGAGGAGCGTGAGGAGCGATATCAGAGAAGCGTGGCCTGTAGAGTTAGTGGCACAAGGCGGGGAGAGCTGGACTGGCTGGGCTGCGACTGGGTGGTTCCAGAGCCCGCCCCACAGAGGAATGGACCCTGAGCTGGATTTCAAAGATTGACTATGGTTTTCCCAGTGGACAAGGGATGGGGTGGGTGATGGGGAGGACAATCTACTTAGAGCCCCAGAGGAGGGGACACGGGAGGAGGTGAGGTTGGAAAGGCAGATGGTCACCTTGTATGTCATTGCAAGGAATTGAAACATCATGAAAATGACTGGAAGCCATTGGAGGATTTTAAGCCTAAAAGTGACACCCTTGCACCTAGGCTGGGCTTTGGGGGAATATATTTCACTAGAGGCCTAGAGGACGAACAATATCTTATACTCTATTAGTCCTACCAATGCTGACGCAAAGTTGGTTGATAAATAAATACTTAATGTTTGGTCCACCTTGGTCCACAGACATATGCAAATGGGGGGGGGGTCCCTGTTCTGTTTGCACAACCTTTGAGGAATCACCCTCTGATTCTCAGAACGAGGGTAGAATGGGGTCTTTCACCATATCCATAGGATGGAGAAAGATGAAGGATTTTGAAATCTGGGCCTTCGTCCGGGGAAGGAATAGATTTCAGTTTCATAAAGTGGATTTGAATCTGAAATGGGTGACTGTTTTGCTGTCGTAATTCTCCCCCTTCTTTTACTACAAAATACTGCAAAGTCAGTGCCCCGCACTCACACTTTCTCGTTGAGGCCCAGGCACTGATAGATTGGTCCAGAATCTGCAACACCTTTCATGACTTTCTTCGGAAGCTCTTTGAAAAAGTAGGCTGGTAGGTTGCTGCTATTGTAGGTGACGGAGTCACAAGTCACGATTCCTGGGTAGTACATCATCATTCTGGCAGCTATGTTGACTTTTTGGCCAATGACTGCAACAGGAAAGAGAAAGGCAGAGAGTGGGAGAAATGGCCATGGAACTGAATGTAATCTGAGAAATCCTGTCCCCAGGTGGCACTTTAACCCTTTACTCCCTTTGCCTTTCATGAATGACATCAAACTCACCTTCAACTACCCATAGTCAGCCAGTGGCCTTTAAAAATATGCAGGCAGTGAACTCAATTAGTCACCAGAAAAGCTTCTGCCTCAGCTGGGAGGCCATGGGGACAATCTGCTCAGAGGCAGAGAGGCTCTGTATGTGGGCTCACCCTAGGCCCACAGGCTCTTGGGTGAGGTACAGCTGGTCTTTGGCTACAAGATGGACAAGCACAAGCTCGGGCCTGGGACACTGACCTCCAAATGAGGCACAAATTCATGTCTGCATGTTTCTGGGCATGAACTCTTTCATTTCATTTTCAGAATGAATTACCTTCATTCGGTGATCCCTTAAGAGTGTGTAATGGGGTTAGACGGGGTGTGTGTATAAGATGGATTTAGGCCAGTGATGGCGAACCTTTTGAGCTCGGCGTGTCAGCATTTTGAAAAACCCTAACTTAACTCTGGTGCCGTGTCACGTATAGAAATCTTTTGATCTTTGCAACCATAGTAAAACAGAGACTTATATTTTTGATATTTATTTTATATATTTAAATGCCATTTAACAAAGAAAAATTAACCAAAAAAATGAGTTCGCGTGTCACCTCTGACACGCGTGTCATAGGTTCGCCATCACTGATTTAGGGGTTACTTTAAGGGGTAAAGCACTGTAGTGCACAGACTCTGAACCCCAGCTCTACCTCCAACTCGTATGTTACCAAATGACTTTAACTCTGTCATGTCGTAGTTTCCTAATCTGTAAAGTGGGAATAACAGTGCCGATCTCAGAGGGTAGTTTATGAAGATTAATGAGTTAACACATACACATCGCTTTGGATAGAGCCCTCGATTAATAGTACAACTAATTAGGTACTCAAGGTTGCACTATACCATAAACTTATATACTTCTGATCAAGTTATTCCTTTTTAAAAACTGTTTATTATGGAGAAATTTGACCATACAATAAGACACAGCCTCATGAATCTTCATGTACACATCACCCAGTCCCAATAGCCAGTAACCCACGGCCAACCCTGCCCCAGCCTCACTCCCACCCACTCTCCACCCGGTAGTATATTGAAGAAAATCTCAAAAATTGCATCATTTCAGACATAACTATTTCAGTATTTTAGAGGTATTATTTCTGAACAATTGAAACCCTACTAGGATTGAAGAGGGAAATAATAGCAAGAGCAGTGAAAACTTGAGATAACACCTACTTACTACTCTCTTTTGAGATGAGTATTATTCACCGGTAATGCCCATAGTCATAATTTTTAAGAAGCAGTCCTCACCTATCTCAGGCAGTAGGAAGAGTAACTGTTGAATGTCAACGGGAAATTATTTAGAAAGGCCCCTCCCTCCATGAGCTCACTGCCTCCCCCTGCTCTCTCTCAACTACCGATGCCGTATGCACAGCCCCAGAATGCACACTGGGCGGGCATCCAGCTGCCGGTGGGCAAAGCCACAAGGCGTGGCCCCATCTGGGAGACAGCAAACTGGCTGGGGACAGGGCCCAGGTCTTGATTCTTTCTGTCCTTCCTCCCGCAAAGCTGGGTGGCGAGGCACGGTGTTTGCTGAAGGAAAGCGGAGCTACGCTAGCTCAGCACACCTGTGTACTCGTGCCTCACAGAGTGTCCCACGATGCCACAGAAGACAGTCCCGCTGGCCACGCCGATGGAAACGGTACTGGCGCCCGGCAAGAAGAAGTTTGTGGGGAAAGAGATAAAGACAGTGAGCAGAGAGAACGTGGGAAGGGGGGACATGGTGAGGAATGGGGTGGGGAGGGTGGGAAAGGATTGTCAATATATCACTCTTTCCCCTTTGGACTTAGTTGAGGGCAATTGTACGTGGTCTGGAGGTAGGAAGAGTTTGGGACCCAGAGCCAGGTTCTCAGTAGTGGTTACTCGGTTCACTTTTCTCTTACTTTTAAGTATTTGTCTGAGCTACTTTTCTGGAAAATAAGTTCTCATCCTCCCAAATGGACTAGTTGTAAACAACATAACTCTCCCTGTTATTGCTGGGAAGGACAAGTCATTATAACTCAGATACAGTGTGTGGCATCCAACCTGATTTTGCTAATACATCCACCTGCGTCTATAGATGACTAGGGGCTCAGGGGGTGGAAAAATTTAGGACAGATGATGACGCGTTGGAGTTGACCAGAGAGGGCTACAATCCAGGCACTGGGTGCTCAGGCTGGGGAAGCCTGAGGGCACCGTGCAGGGGCAGCCAGGGCTGAAGGTGGTAACCTCACCTTAACAGCTTTATTAGAGGCCGGGTCATTCTACACATTTCTACCCCAAGGACTCATTTCCTCTCCCAATTATTAAAAACCAACTCAGGTCTCCAACTTGGTGTTGGGAGTTTGGCCTCTGCCAAGAAGCAAGCCGGAAGTACAGAGAGACCCCGTCGGGTTCTCTTGCAAACCTGGCACAGGTTGGCTTTCGAGGGGTGTCCTTTCCCCACCTTGCCTTTCCCATCCCCCGTCCCCTGTGGCAAGGCTGGGCTTGCCCACTCTGCTGGTGCATTAGGTGAAGGAATGCAGGTGGATGGGCATCCAGTTAAAAACAGCCCTCACCTGCTTCCCTGACCCTTAGCCTGTCCCCCACCCCCATATCCCACAGAAGGGTCAGGGTCAGGGACCAGAGGATGGGACCAAGGTCAACACTCACTGGACTTTGTGGACCTGAGAGCAGAAGTCGAATATCTCCACAGCACTTTCTAAGGCATGAGTGACCTCATCAGGTGCCTTTTCCCCGGGGAAACCAAAGACACAGAGGAAGGAGCAGCCCTGTGGGAGGGAGAGTCAGTGAGCACAGCGGGTGGGCAGAAGCTGTTCACGTTCCCTTTCTGATTTCTTCATAATTCCTCTCGCCCCTGTTTTCTTTTTAGAAAACATCATATAATTGCTAGTGCAGCATCTACAGTATGACTTGAGCCCAGGAAGGGCTGCTTTGGCTTCAGAATAATGGGCCTTGCTGAGCTCTTTGTGCCACAGTTCTGTCTAGCCTCCCGGTGGGCAGGTCACACGCTGCAAGTCTAAGAAACAGCGTGGAGCCGCGGGAAGGCACCAGCGCAAGTCTGGAAGTCTATGCAGAAACCTGGACAAGTGCATTACACTCCATGAACTTCAGTCAGCATGAAAATGGATATTACATTGACCTGCGGGGGTTGCTTTGTCTACTAAAGTGATTACTGTATTTAAAACATTTTATTGTAATGTTATATGTAATTAATACATGTAATTAACACACACACTTTATGAACTACTTTATGGTATACATATACTTAATCTAGTATATATAGTACACTATATATTTCACACTTTCATATAGCATAGATACTTTATAGTATATGCATATAGAAAGTGTAAGCTTAAGGGTATATATGTAAACAGGTCAGTCCTGACTGGCACTGGGCTCTGATTCCAGATCTGTGTAGGGACTAGAGGGCTCCGTTTGGGGACACCAGTGGGTCTGCCTTGCCTGGAAATTTCGCCTAGTGGCTCTGCAAGGTGAGCAGTGGTCTCCCTCTGACCATGAGACCCGCAGCTCACTGAAGCGAGTGGTGGTACAAGTGCCCACACATTTTTCAAAACTTGCAACAATCCCTTGAGGCAAATACTCTCCCATTCCAATAATATCCCTCTCACTGTTCATGAGCAAACCAAGGCTCAGAGAAGGCCCGGAATTGTGGGAGCCACGTCTGCAAATACTGATGGCTGCTTTTGGGTCCTGTGCTCCTGTCTCAGGATCCAAATGGGAGGAAAGGGCGGGAGCACCAAGTTCACCCTCCTTCCACAGAACTGCTTCTTCCTGCTGGTTGTGTGGCAATGTGTGTGACTGACTCCTCTTGGCTGCCCAGTCCTAGCGTTCAGCCTTCTGCAAAGCCTCAATGAATGTTTATGGAATTATTGAATTAGTGTGGCTCAGTTATTAAATGCTCTGATCTTAAGATACAGAAAACACCTGAGAATGGAGCATCCATTGTCACCAGCAATTTCTCTAAGCTTATTAGGGGTACCCCTCCCATCTACCCATCCCCACCCTTGTCCCGTTCCCTGAAAGTGACAGGGGGCTGAAAGTGTAGATATGGCAGGTGTGCATTAAGGGAAACAAACTTCTGGGGTGTGAAAGTTAGAAAACACCTGACCCAGAACCGCTGGGAGATGCACTGTGGCTGGGCTGGTCAAGCACAGACTGGGAAGGTGCATGACCTGGGCTGGAATCCCAGCCCACCACTTACTAGCTGGATGACCATGAGCCAAACTTAAACTTTTCTTATCTCAGAATCCTCAACTCTGCCTCAACATCCTCATCTGTAAAATGGAAATAATAATAAGAGCACCTACCTCTCAGAGCGGTCATGAGGGTGGAATGAGTTCATAGAGGCAAAATGTCGAGAACAATACCTGGACTGCAGTAATGCCACATTCACCATAGAAGCTGCTATATTCAATCTAAATGAAGACTAATGCTTCCAGGTTAAAAGTGTCTCTTCCCTTTCCCTCACCAATGTGCCTGGGCAGGTGGTAACATTAAATTGGTGGCAGCTTCCACCCCTTAGTTCACACTTACCTTGTCAAACATGAAAACTTTATTGATTTGGCCTCGGAAGTCCCTCAGGACAGAATTGATGTGCACGGAGGCATCCTGGATGGACGAGCCTATGACTTCGGCTTTGTCTTGGTCCTTAAATACCAGGTTCACAAACACAATGGTCACTGGGCGGAGCTCAGACAAATAACCCCGAAGCTGTTTGTCATCAATCTGCCAAGTAGAGACACTTCACTTTGCACCTGTCCTTGGCTGTGGACCCTTCCTCCCAACATCAACACAAGCAATTCTCACTGGGTGGGAACTAGCCTGTTGAAACTCTCTGGGAAAGCTGTGAAGTGATCGGAATGTGTGAGGCACAGCATGGCAGAGCCAGCCCAAATTCGAGCAGATGGGAATAAATTCACTAGCAAAATCTCTTGCAATGGGAACTCACACATTTGCTAATTTTTGGAAAGGAACCACTTCCTTGCCCCTACTGCTGCACTCTCATGGCAAGATTAGCCATTGCCAGAGAGAGAGAACTACCATTCCTTTTGGCTCTCTTGCAGTTTAAGGATAAGAATAGCATGCTATGGCCCCATACCACTCAATAAGAGGCCCCAGGCCCGGCACTAGCAGCAGCCTGCCTTGCTTCACAGCTTGGCCTCTCCTGGGCACTTCTAAGCCCAATACAAGTAGCAGCCACCTGAAGATCACACTTTAGCTCCTGACAGGTGGCCCTAGGCAGGGCACAGGCAGTGCCTGACTTTGCACCTACAGGGTGGCCACAGAGCCAATGTACTTGGTAGACAGCTTCAGACCATGTTCAATTACAACTCTACACATCTATGAGAGACACACTAAAGTGGCAGGCTCAGTGAGCATCAAAGCCCCAATGAAGCAAGTCCTGCTCCATGAGGGTGTCTCCTGCACAGCAGCTCTTCTGCTGTAGTCACAGCTGCTCCTCACAGCCAATTGGCCTGGGGGTCAATTCCTCCCAGTGATACCAATAGCACTCAGAGCTCAACTACACCAAGACAGTGCACACAGCCCACATACCTAGAGTGCCCAGCTCAAGTGACTAGGGAGGCTGAGCCATTGGGCCCTACAGGACACATACTACACAAGGCCACTCTACCAATTCCAGGAGAGATATCAGTTCTACATAATACATAGAAACAAACATAGAAAGTAGCCAAATACAGAGAAAAAGAAACATGTTACAAATGAAAGAACAGAAGAAATCTTCAAAAAAGAACTCAATGAAATGGAAACAAGCAAACTACTAGATACAGAGTTCAAAAAAATGGTTATAAGGATGCTCAAGGATCTTGATGAGAGCTTCAAGGGACTTAGTGAGAATTTCAATGATCTTAATGAGAATTTCAAGGAAATTAGTGAGACTATCAAAGACATGAGAAAGGACCAGTCAGGAATGAAGCCTACACTAACAGAAATGAAGAATAATTTACAGGGAATCAACAGTAGAGTAGAGGATACAAAGAATCAAATCAGAAATTTAGAATATGAGGAAGCAAAAAACACCCAACTGAGAGAGAAAGAGAGAGAGAGAGAGAGAGAGAGAGAGAGAGGAGAGAGAGAGAGAAAAGAATCCAAAAATATGAAGATAGTGTAAGGAGCCTCTGGGACAACTTCAAGTTATCAACATTTGCATTATGGGGATGCCAGAAGGAAAAGAGAGAGAGAGCAAGATATTGCAAACTTATTTAAAGAAATAATGACAGAAAACTTCCCTTACCTGGTGAAAGAAATAGACGTACAAGTCCAGGAAGTTCAGAGAGTCCCAAACAAGAGGAACCCAAAGAGGCCCACACCAAGACACATCATAATTAAAATGCCAAGGGTTAAAGACAAAGAGAGAATCTTAAAAGCAACAAGAGAAAAGCAGTTAGTTACCTACAAGGGAGTATCCATAAGACTGTCAGCTGATTTCTCAACAGAAACTATGCAGGCCAGAAGGGAGTGGTAAGAAATATTCAAAGTGATGACTAGCAATGACCTACAGCCAAGATTACTCTACCCAGCAAACTATAATTCAGAATTGAAGTCATATAAAGAGCTTCACAGACAAGAAAAAGCTAAAGGCGTTTCTCATCACCAAACTATGCATGAAATGTTGAAGAGTATTCTTGAAGAAGAGGAAGAAGAGAAAGAAGAAGAAGAAGAAGAAGAAGAAGAAGAAGAAGAAGAAGAAGAAGAAAGAGATAAAAATATGAACAATATAATGGCAATAAATACATAGCTATCAATAATTGAATCTAAAAATCAAAATAAACAAACAAGGAATCTAATGAACAAAATAAACTGATAAATAAAATAGAACCAGAGACATGAAATCATGGAACAGACTGACAAATCTGTGAAGGAAGAGGGGAGGGGGCAGGAAGAGATTAACCAAATAATTTTATGCTTAGATGCATTGCCCATGGACACAGACAATAGGGAGGAGAAGGCCAGGGTAGGGCAGGTGTGGGGTGAAGGAGAGCAAGGCGGGGGAGGCGGGGGAGCAAAGGGGGCATCTGTAATACTCTCAACAATAAAGATTAAGAAAGAGTAACACACAATGTAATTCAACCTTCTAAAATATTTTCATAGCCTGGTACCTTCTGGAATATTTTCAGTCTGACCTACTTCATCCTCAAATGAAATAAAATAAGTATTGTTACTCCCCAGTTTCCTGATGAGATGATGGAGACATGGAGAAATAGCACAGGTTTTCCAGGGTCGCCTGGGGAAATAGCAGCAAACGAGACCCCAAATCTCCAGACTCCTAGCCCAGGTTCCCCCTGCACACCCCACCTCCCTGGGGTGGCACCTCTCACTCAGCTCCCCTCTCCTCTCCAAGGACATGTTCCCACGTTATTCCTGCCTATCATCACCCTGGAATTGTGTTAATTAAGTGCATAGCAAACCAATGGAGGATAATCATTGCATCTTTTTCTCTTCCAAATAACACAAGTGTGAAACTGTGGACAATGGAAACACCTTCCAGGTGAAAGTGGGCACTGTGGGTGGGGAAGCTCCCTAACTGGGTGGTGGGCCTGCTTCCGTAAAATTTTATTCTTTTCCTAAAAGACAATTTAATTATGTCTAACTAACCAACGTGATGGTATTCAAACAAATTTATTACATAATTAACGTTAAATACAGGAATAACATTAATTATTAAATATTAAAATCTATCAAACAAATTGATTGAATGATTAAGATTATTCTACCGGACCCAGTGTCCTGAGTTTTGGATTGGAAAATGCAACCATATATCTCTAAGGCTCTCCATGCTGCCGGGGTGGGGGCGGTGCCAGGGGCAGGGGGGAGGGGCTGGCCTTGGGAAAGGGTAAAAAACAAAATGGAGTCACCATAGCCAAGCTAGCAAAACGCCTTGCATTGGAATGGGCTGAAACATGAGGAATAGACTATTTTCTCTTAACTGGCCTGAGGACTTGAACTTTGAACCTTTTGGTTGTGCACTGACACCTGGAGAAACACACAAATCCTACAGAATGTTCACGTTTCCAGACCCCTGACATCTGGAAGGTCCTTCTCTCAGACCAATCCAGAGGCTATGAACGCAAGAAGGGCTTTTTACTATGAGGACTCTCCACTTTTCTCTCTTTGGAACATCTGGGTGTCCCCTGGCAGGGCCCTCGAAGGAAACTTAGTCATTTAATTCTAGCGGTGGCTGAGGAAGCTTAAGGCATTATACATCTGTAATTTTGCTACTGTTATGAATCTTAATGTAAATATCTGATACGCAGGATGTATTTAGGCGACCCCTGTGAAAGGGTCGTCGACCCCCAAAGGGTCGCGACCCACAGGTTGAGAAACGCTGCACTAGAGGTAGTGTTTTCAAATTGGGCTGAAGGCAGAGGGATCCATTCTGACATCCCTTCAACCCCTACTGGGAAGGCAGGCGCCCACTGCTCATGCTTGTCCCATAGAGATTTCCTCCAGGACACAAACGCATTTTGATGGGATTAAGGATTTAAAGGGGCATATTGTTAGGAGGGTATACAGCCTGTGTGTGTGTGTGTGTGTGTGTGTGTGTGTGCGCGCGCGTGCAATAGGTTCAGATAGAAGAGGGTTTAATTGAAGCCACAGCTCTTCCTTTGCAACCTCAGGGAAGACCCTGGGACCCTCTGGGTCTCCCCCTCTATGTAAAATGGAGCTGCAGATGTCCACAGGACTGGAGGGGAGATGATGCCACAGCGGAACGCCTGGCACACGGCCAGTGCTGAGTGGTGGCTAGAATTCCTATGGATTCATACATTTGAGAGAGCCTAGATCTAAGTGAATAAAAGGAGGAACATTTTACTAAAAGGGGGTTGGAGGTAGTTCTGAGAGTTTTAATTACCTGCATTATTAGCTTTCAAGGCTTGGAATCTAATGCAAGTGCCTTGGAGAAATGGTGTACCCAGCCCACCCCCTCGATATCTCTCTGCTATGTGTCATTTAGAAAGGGCGGCCATAGGTTCTTTACACTTAGGACAGTTCCAGTTTGCCCGGTTGTAGAAGGCAGCAACGCCCTAGTTTACACCTGTTGTCACAGTATAATAATGAATGATGTCCCTTTAGTTCCGAAAAGTATCCTGATGTGAATAGTAAATTTCACAGTCCTCAACACATGGAGAAGGCCAGTCCACCTCTTATTTTAACGGAACAGATTACTAGCTATGAGATTTCTTGATGTTTCCAGCTGTCCAAGGTCCCTGACACCACCCTGCTCAAACAATAAATTAAATGAAGAGAATACCTGTTTTGATATGCTTTCCATCACATACTTTTGTAGGGAAGACTCCAGTTCAGGGTCAGACTCCAGCATGCAGGCAAGCCTCAGGAGGTCTAAGGATCAGAAGGAGAGCAGGCTCAGAAAGAGAGGCCTGGCTCTGGGGTGCAGGAGAGAGGGGAGCCCCCCAGCCCCAGCCCCTTGGGCAGGGGTCATCCCAGGCCAGTCAGGGGCAGTGGTTAAATAGGGTCAAGGGAAGTTCTGTGAGAAATTCTTAGAGGTTGTGGGTTTATCAAAATTCAATTGCATGTTGCTCAAAGCCCTATTTTAATTACCTTCAAACTTTGGAACTTGGGGAGATTTTTACATCTAGACTTGAGCTAAAACGATTGCCACAGGTGATGGGAATGGGCAGGTGAGGGGATGGTGATGACAGAGGGAATGATGACAGAATGAAGGAGGTGATAAGGTTGAAAGAACAGCAGGAATAAAATTCAGGAAACTGGATTCTCATCCCAGGTTTGATAGGAACTCCCTGTGTGAGCCTAAGCAAGTCGCCCACTACCTTGGTTGCCATGTGAGCAAACCAAAACTTAGATGACGTTCTGTCCCTGTAGGAACAGTCTATCCAGGCAGCCAATCTCCAAATGCCAAGCCAACTCAGAGCCTTCTCACCCCAAACAAGGTCTAATATGTGGTTTCAGCCAATCAAATCTTTTCTAATTTGTCTCTTCCTGTTCTTTATTCTCTACGCTATTAAAGCTTCTTGACTTCCCGCCCATTTTGCAGTTCTTTGCAAGGAAACTGTCCATGTTATGTTAAATAAACTGTCCAGTTTATGCTAAGTAAAGTAAGTTGTTAAATTATCCTCTTTAATCATTTTTTAACATGTTAATGTTGGAAGTGGGGATGGCCCATAGGCAGTTGGTGTAGGAGGCTACAGTTCAGGACACAAATCGGGGCTGGATTCTGGCAGTTAGCAAGCAACTCACAAAACCCTCAAATTTTGTGTCCCAGGCTCCTGCTTTCCTCACCCTGGTCCCAGCCCTGCTGGGAGTCACAGGGAGTCAACCACGGATGAACGTTCTCCAAGAGATAAGCAGGGAAGACTAGAGGGTCAAGGACACATCCTGGAATCACTAACATTTAAGGGCTGGAAGGAGACTTTGCAAAGGGCACTGAAACCGAGGGCTTGGAGGGGTAAGAGCAAAACTCAAGAAGAATATTCTTGAACATAAGAGGCAAAGATAGTGCCCAGAAAAAGACAGTAACTAAGGTCAGCCGCCTAGGATGAGGCCCGAGGAGAGGCCATCCAGGCTGGCAAATTGATGGTCATTAGTGGCCGTAACATAAACAGCCTTGGTAGACGGAGGAGAAAGGGATAGGAAGCTAGATGTCAAAGGCTCAAGGTCAAAGAATAAGCATATGCCCCTGAGGCGCTTGCAAACAGTATTTATTGGGCGAATAAATGAATGAGAGGCTGGAGAGAAGAGAGGTGTGGGTGCAAGGTTAGTCTTGCGAAAAGTTTGGTGGTGAAGACTAGGAAAATAGGATTCATGGATGTTTTAGTTTTTTCTTTCATTGTGGGGGAGACGCACATGTTTGGAAGATGGGTGAAAGGAGCCATTGTGGGGACAAGCAGGAGGCCCCTTCGTGTGCTGCTCAGGACTGGGCGCTTACTGAGGACCCCAGCACATGGGATGGAGCCCTGGGCATTGGTATGACACCCTGCTGACCCCTGGTGGAGGCAGAGGTTCTTGTCCATGGAGGGTACTTACTTTTGTGGTCTCCAGAAGGATAATAATCCATGAAAGTCATACACTTCGTGAAAAATTCATCAAAGTTAAAAGTAGGGGGTAGTTTTAAGAAATTAACCTAAATTAAAGAAACAGAAATTTTGGTTATTCTGAGGGGTGGCTGGCCCTTTGAAATTCATCTCTCAGCAGCACGGGCAGGGAGTAAGCTTTGAACAGAGGCACAAACAATGGCGTTCTTTAATTGGCACGTGATCACATAAAATGTCTCCAATCACTTGTTAAGATTACAATCATAAGTATACACACGGAAGGCTATTCCAGGGGGCCAACCCACGTACTTTTCCACTCTTAGAACTTTCTACTCCTTTGTTTTTCCTTTGCCTTTCATAACATTTTAATTCATATAAAACCTGTCTAAACCATACACCACTTCTTTCATATACGTGTAAAGGGGCTGGTGCCCCATAGTGCATTCAGAATATCACCAGTCATGAGATTCATGTCGGGATCGTGACCCCATGGCTGGACATGCAGAGAATGGTACAGCCTCGTTCCTGTGCTATTCTTGTCCCAAAATGGACAGCCTTAGTCCAGTACTGAGAAAATGTCAGGCAAAACCAAATGGAGGGACAGTCAACAAAATAACGGATCCACAGTCCTCTTAGGTGTCGAGGTCATAAAAGACCAGGAAGTGATGAAACGCTATTATTAAAGATTGCAGGGGCAAAGTAAGAGAGGGATGAGATGCAGTGTGAGGTCGTGGGCAGAACCTGGAACACTCCACTGAGGACACTGATTGGTGGGAAACTGGGGAAACCCAAACAGGCCTCTTATTAGTGAACAGTGCTGTCCCAGGGTTTATTTTCCAGTTTTGACTCTTGAACTCTGGTTATGAAAGATGTTACCATCTGGGGAAGCTGGATATAAGGAAACTATTATTTTTTAACTTTTCTGTGAGGCCAAAATTAACGCAAAAATTAAAACCATCTTGAAAGATATAAGGAGTGGCTAAACGGGGACCAGGGCGTGTGAGCAGCCAGCTGGAAGAGCGAGTGGTGGGTGTGAGGGCCACACTGGCCCAGTGGGGGCTCTCACCTTTGCCAGCATCTACGTGGACCCTCCGTTTTCCTTTCTGCCACGCAGCCCCTTTCCCGGCTCAGTCAGCACAGCTCTCCTCCCCTTTACCCACTCGGAACGCACAGCTTCTCTAAGTGGCCACAGCCTTCAGTGTCACGTCACAGTGTTTCTCACCCGGCAGCCACCCAACAGTCCTCCACCCCCACCCCAAACTGCTGCCCTGCTGCCTCCAGCCCTCCGCTCCGTGGTCCCTGCCCTGGGCGAGGAGGGTGTTGAGTAGGGCAGGTGAGGGCCATAGGCAGCCCCCCAAACGACAACCTCCTGCTCCCGGGGACCGGCCAGGATTTGTTTCCTCTTCCTATAGCAGGGGTCCTCAAACTACGGCCCGCGGGCCACATGCAAATACAAATATTGTGTTTGTTCCTGTTTTGTTTTTTTACTTCAAAATAAGATATGTGCAGTGTGCATAGGAATTTGTTCATAGTTTTTTTTATATATTTTATTGATTTTTTACAGAGAGGAAGGGAGAGAGACAGAGTCAGAAACATCGATGAGAGAGAAACATCGATCAGCTGCCTCCTGCACATCCCCCACTGGGGATGTACCCGCAACCCAGGTACATGCCCTCGACCGGAATCGAACCTGGGACCCCTCAGTCCGCAGGCCGACGCTCCATCCACTGAGCCAAACCGGCCTCGGCTCATAGTTTTTTTTTAAACTATAGTCCAGCCCTCCAACGGTCTGAGGGACAGTGAACTGGCCCCCTGTTTAAAAAGTTTGAGGACCCCTGTCCTATAGCAAGGGCACCAGCCCCAGAGGCCTCTGTGCCAGATTCCACGCCCTTCATTACCGCAGGGCCTGGTCATCTCCCCTTGAACTCAGCCGAGGTGTCTTAGACCACAGCCTTGAGGTGGACCCACACTGACCCCACCTGAGTCTCCCGTGCAGGAGCCACATGGAGCCCGCCTTCCCAGTGGCTTTTCCGACAGGCGGCCCCTGGCCCAGACTGCAGCTTCCTGCGAGCAAAGCACCCCACGAACCTTAACTGCTCTCTGGTCTGGGATCCTCTCAATCTCAATCATGCTCCGGTCGCAGAGCTGCCAGCAGTTCGGTGACAGAATGACATCGTTCATCTGCGCCATGTTCTGTGCTAGGCGCACGTCATCCACCGTCTGGCCAGTCACCAGGAAGAAGTTGCGTTTCTCGTCTCCGAAGACCAACATGGTGATGTGGCCCGCAGCCAGTCCTGGCGAGAAGGCAAGCTGTAGGTTTGCGGAAGCTCTGGGATATTCCCTGGCAGCACGGGTTCTTGGGAAAATCAGAATCGTGGTGTGACTCCCTCTTCTGGGCCCAGGCATTCCAAAACGCCTCCTCTCCCACAGCCAGGAAGCCAGCTACTACATCTCACTCATCTTTCTGTGACATTTATCTCCTTAAAGGACCCCATCTGTCTCTCCTTTCTCAAAAACTTACCTCTCTTTTTTTGTGTGTTAATATATCTGTATTGCTTTCAGAGAGGAAGGGAGAGGGAGAAAGAGATAGAAACATCAATGATGAGAGAGGATCACTGATTGGCTGCCTCCTACTCGCCCTCTACTGGGGATTGAACCTGCAACCAAGGTACATGCCCTTGACCAGAATTGAGCCTGGGATCCTTCAGTCCGCAGGCCAACGCTCTAACCACTGAGCAAAACCAGCCAGGGCAAAAAGCTTACCTATCTTGACTCGGATGTCCAGGCCTTCTAACTCCTGGGTCCCAAACAGCTCGTGGATCTCCAGGCTACATTTAACTACCACCGTGATCATGTTTTTCAGTTGCTTTCGCTCCACCTTCCACAGGGCAAGAAGTGCATCACCTTGAGGAGACAGACCACAGGGGCTCATGACCTGCCCTGGGGACCAGTCTGCTCTGTATGAAATCTGGACACAAGCGTGCCTCAACCCAGTCTCCTGGCCGCCGCTGCCTCTGAGATGCCTCCCATACCTGCAAATTTTAAGATGTCTCCTCCAAAAATCAACACCTCTGAGAAAAAAAAAAAGAAAAGAAGTTAAATCAAACTTGAATTGTTTAAAGCTAATAAGAAGAATTCATTCTTCACCCATGGAGTAGAAATTAGGTCAAGAGAACAGCAATTTAGAGAGCAGACTTGTGCTAAAGATATCATCTCAGCCGTAGCCGGTTTGGCTCAGTGGACTGAGCGTCGGCCTGCGGACCAAAGGGTCCCGGGTTTTATTCCAGTCAAGGGCATGCACCTAAGTTGCAGGCTCCTCCCTGGCCCTGGCCCTCCCTGGTCAGGGCTCATGCAGGAGGCAACTAATCAATGTGTTTCTCTCACATTGATATTTCTCTCTGTCTTTCCCTCTCTCTAAAAAATCAATGGAAAAATATCATCAGGTGAGGATTAAAAAAAAAAAGATGTTATCTAGGACAAGTTACTTAAACTGTATGGTGTGTTTCCTCACCCACAGAATGAGGACATGAACTAGATCAGTGATGGCGAACCTATGACACGCGTGTCAGAGGTGACACGCAAACTTATTTTTTGGTTGATTTTTCTTTGTTAAATGGCATTTAAATATATCAAATAAATATCAAAAATATAAGTCTTTGTTTTACTATGGTTGCAAATATCAAAAAATTTCTATATGTGACACGGCACCAGTGTTAAGTTAGGGTTTTTCAAAATGCTGACACGCCGAGCTCAAAAGGTTCACCAGCCTGAACTAGATTGTATACATGCTCTGATTCTGTGAATGGGAAAAAGCAGGAGGAGGAGGAGGTGGGGTTTCCAATGAGGTCCGAGGACACCTACCCTACTCCTGTGATAATGAAGGCACCTAACTGCTCAATATAAGTATTACTAGAGGCCCAGTGCACAAATTCCGTGCACTGTTCAAGTCCCTAGCACCTGTTGGCTGCCAGCCAGGTATTCCCTCCCTTCCCCTGGCCGCCTGCCAGCACCACTGGCCAGGACCTCCCTCCCTTTCCCCAGCTGGTCTGCTCCCTGGTCAAACTCCCAGAAGAACTGGGGTCGAGGGGATAATTTGCATACTACCCTTTTATAATATGAATGAGCTGAGGCTTGAGTGACCCTGGTAAGTGGTGCATGGCAGGACACATAAGAACTAAGAATCAGGAAATTGGGCAACCACCACCACGGTCAACTTAGGCTTTGTTTATTACCAACTTGCATTTTGTTTGTTTAGGCTTTTTGACATAAAGGAAAATTTTTTACTCCTATATATGTTTCACCACAAACTTGTTGAATACTGTTGTGCTGAGTGGGATGCAAAAAAAATTAGATATAGTTTCTGCTTTTCAGGAGCATCACATTTGGCCTCGTGGGTGATACTAAGGCATTCCTAGGGGACTTAGAGCCTGATAGGAGGAGAGACCCAGAGTTCATCCTAATAGAGCAAATCCTTTTCTTCTTTCTTTTTTTTCCTGTTAATCCACACCCAGGAATATTTTTTCTGAAGATTTTTAGAGAGAGTGGAAAGGAGGAGTGGAGAGAGAGAGAGAGATGTGAGAGAGACACATTGAGTGTTTGCCCCCACAGGTGCCCCAACTGGGGCTGGGGATCGAATCTACAACCCGGGTACATGCCCTTGAGCGGGAATAGAACCCGTGACCCTTCAATGTGCGGGCCAACACTCAGAAACACAGCCAGGGCAATCCTTTTCTTCATGAATAGTTCATATTAATAATGCCAACAAGGTGGTGGGCAGAGGTTGAAAAGGAGACCAGGTTTTTCAGCCATTTCTACACGTTTCAGATGCCATCATTAGAAGGCAAATTACTCATGAGTTACTTATAAACCACTCATCTCTTCATTCGGCATTCTCTTCATGACTACTTTCGGGTTATAGTGATGCTGTTTTTTTGGTGTTATTGAACACAGCTGAGAGTATCACTGCTACAGTTCTTTTCAATGTAGTCTCTCGGGCAGTCCTTGAACGAATGCAAAACATCCTTTCCCTCGAATACTCCGTATTAGGGAGGTTGGTTTGCATTGTATTTCAAAAAGACTGGCTTCACCCACATTTCCTGGGGGAAATTGAGAATGCTAAGCAATAGGACTACATCAGCTCCTAACCAACAAATATGGCAAAACAACGAACTGCAATGGCCTCAGCCAGGCCCGTGGGGACACTCACTCTCCACTATTGCGCTGATGTAGTGGTTGAGGATCTCCACCAGCTGCTCTGCCCCTCGGTCCATGTACATGGCTGTACTGAACTTCTCAGTCATCGCCGTGAAACCTGCAGCAAAGGGCAGGCGGTTGGAGGAAGCAGCCAGGGCAGGAGAGGAGGGCACACTGGGGAGCAGCGAGCCCTTCGTTAGCTCCCGGCAAGGCTTCTTCAAGGCCTTTGTGGCCGGCCCAGTGTCGGCTGTGCAGCCTCCATCATCTGGTGATTATCTGAGGGGTCAGGGGAAGCACCAGGGACCTCCTCCCTCCAAATTTCTCCACTCGACAGGAATGATCGCAGTTCCTCCAACGGGGCCTAGAGCGTCCACCCCAAGGTAATGAAAGCACACAGCATTCCACCACTTCGGAAGCGGTGGCAGCTTCCTGTTCCGATGGAAACACCATCTGGAGAGACCATGTGCGGAGGTCCCTTTTGCCTGGGAAGTGTGTGAAGCCTGGTGGTTGAGTCACTGAAGTCGGGGCAGGGACACTGGAGCCTGAAGTTCCAGGTCAGGGACTTGGGCACCTTGAAGGCCCATGACCTGACCTGCTTTTAGTAGGTGAAGTGTTTTCATAAAAAGCTGGGGAAAGGCACCCTGTCCTGCCATCGAGCTCTGCCATAAATGGACACTCTGATGCCAGCCTATCATTTGCCCACATCGAACATCCCTGTCGTGCTTGCCTGAAATATCAACAAACATCAAGACTCCGTCAAAATAATCCACAGAGGGCCGCTCGGGACAGAAGTCTCCATAGACGATGAGGTCCGGCAGGTGAGCGGCGATTCTGACGATGGCCCGGTCCTGCTGCTCCTCTCCCTGTGCGCTCATGCTCCACACAAACGTGCAGGTTAGGGTCACAGCAAGCAGCCCCTACACGCACCTCCTGGAAAGAGAGGCTGAGAATGGAGGCCATCTGACCTACAGCCATTCACTCACTTTCCTATTTCTGTCTCTCCCTTTGCTTTGTTCTAACTTATTTAAGCAGCTGGGGGTACAGTGCCTGAGTTGTCAAGTCACCCTTCAAAAAGGGCCAACGTTCTATAAGAGAACTAGGCCTGGCCCTCGGACAGCTGTTACGTAGGTGAGCACCACTGCAAACAGGCTGGGGTACAGGAGGGGAGCTGAAGGGGTCTGTCCGTTCCCAGGGCACTGTTCACTCAGTCTAGACCCCCTTTCCTCTGTCCTTATGTTTCCTCATTCCTTCCCCCTTCCTTTCATTTTTTAAAAAAATTACTTTATTTTTTAAATTTTTATTGATTTTAGAGAGGAAAGGAGTGGGAGAGAGATAGAAATATCAATGATGAGAGAGAATCATTGATTGGCTGTCTCCTGCATGCCCCATACTGGGGATAGAGGCTGCAAACCTGGGCATGTGCCCTGACCAGGAATCAAAACTGTGACCTCCTGGTTTGTAGGTCGACACTCAACCATTGAGCCATGCCAGCGGGGCTCCCTCTCCCTTTTGGTCTGCCACCTTTTCTTTCTCCTTTTTAGAAAATAAAAAGAAATAATGTAGACGTGAGTACATGTGTGTAGCTATATAAAGATGACTAGGTAAGTGGAGAACTATATATAAACAAGAAATTAGGTGTATTAAGGTACAGCCTTAGAGGGGAAAATTTAAAGCCTGTGTGCATGTGTGTGCGTGTGTGTGTGCATGTGTGAGTGCGTGCGTGTGTGCGTGTGTGTGTGCATGTGTGAGTGCGTGTGTGCATGTGTGTGTGTGTGCATGTGTGTGTGCATGTGTGTGTGCATGTGTGAGTGCGTGCGTGCGTGTGCGTGTGTGCATGTGTGCATGTGTGCATGTGTGTATGGCTTTAAACTGTAAGTGGAAGGAAATGTAGATATCTTAATTTGTTAGTTAGTTCTGAGAAAAAGAGGACTTCCTAAGGCCTTTTGTTAGCTACTGGGGCAAATTAAATGCTCACACTCCACCACCTTAAATAGGAATTGCATCCCCCACTTTTTCAGGGTAATACAAGTTCCTAGAATAGGTGATACAGAATATGAGAGAATTTTTTTAAAAGGAGGAACTATTATTGAGCAACAGGGAGGAACTGGTTAGTAATTCCAACCAGAGGTAGGTCACATTGGGGTACATGAATATTACAAGGAAAAAGTGAGACAGTTAACATGTATCTTAGAGTAAGAAAAGCATTTTTTTAAAATCAGGGAAAACATTAGTATATTCAACAAACAAACTTTAAAATATATAACAACCTCTATAAATGAGTATTAAACACTAGAGGTCCAGTGCATGAATTCGTGCACCAGTGGGGTCCCTCAGCCTGCCCTGCAGGATCGGGCCAAAACCGGCTCTCTGACATTCCCTGAGGGGTCCCAATTTGCTAGCGGGTGCAGGCCAGGCCGAGGGAACCCACTGGTGCACAATCAGGGCCAGGGAGGGGCACGGGAGGTTGGCCAGCTGGGGAGGGACTGCAGGAGGGTTCCAGGGCGTGTCCAGCCCATCTTGCTCAGTCCTGATTGGTCGACCGGTTGATTGTCTCCCCCATGGTGGTCATTGCACATCATAGTGAGTGGTTGAGCAGCCTTAGCATATCATTAGCATATTATGCTTTGATTGTTTGAATGGATGACCAGACACTTAGCATATTAGGCTTTTATTATATAGGATTAGGTATTAGATCATCTTTAAAAGGAAAAGCCATGCCCTAGCTGGTTTGGCTCAGTGGATAGAGCATCGGCCTGTGGACTGAAGTGTCCTGGGTTTGATTCCAGTCAAGGGAACATGCCCAAAGTTGTGGGCTTGTTCCCAGTAGGGGGCATGCAAAAGGCAGCCAATCAATGATCCTCTCTCATCATTGATGTTTCTATCATTCTTTCCCTCTTCCTTCCTCTTTGAAATCAATTATATATATTTGAAAAGCTGTGGTTAACTTAAATGTTAAGAAGTTAACAAAAGATAGAAAAAGAAGCATATAGCTAAGGTTTTTGTTCTGTTTTTTGTTCTTCTTTGTTTATTTTCTAAGAGCAGCATTAAGCCACAGCATGTATGAGGAACAACCAACAGGTAATGAGTAAATAAAACAATTTCTGATAGTGAATTTGATAAGGAAAGGTGTGAGAAAACAGAATGCCAAGAAAGACCTGAGATCTAAGAAAAATGCCGAAGAGAAACTAAAGGAGCTTTTTAAGGTTTTATTGAAAGCAAGGTTATTAATAAAAGCAGAATAAGGGCAAAGCTTAAATAGGATGTACTACACAATTCTTTTATTTCTGCCTTCTCCACTATGGAGAATTGAAAAGTATAACAAATATTGCTGAGAAAGAATTGAAGTCCAAGGTAAGAAAGTGGTGATAAAGCCCCCAGTCATTTAAAATAAATTCAAGTAGTCAGCCCCAGATAACCTATATCCACAGATATTGAAAGCACTGACAGATATAATGTCTGTAATCTCAAAAAATTATGGAGAACAAAAGATGGGCTGAAAAACTGGAGATGTTCTGAATTTCGAAATATGATGCTATCTGCGGACTCCAGAAAACAGACTGGTAAACATGATATATCAAGCCAGTCAGTATAGGTTAGGTTTTGCTTCATTAACAAGTAATTACAAAATCCCAGTGACTTGAAATAACAAAGGCTTATTCCTTGTTCATCTTTTGCTCATGTTACATGTCCATTGCAAGTTGGCTCAGGCTCTGCTCTATTGTTGCCTTCACTTTGGGACCCAACCTGGGACATTCTGGCTGCCAAGACAGTGGGGGAAAAGATTCAGTGGGGCAGACTCATTCTTAAAGTGTTCTTCCAGAAGTGATATTTCACTGCTATTTACGTGACATTGACCAAAGCAACCTATGCAGACATATCTAATTTCAAGCAGGTGTGGAAGTGCTAGCCTACCATGCGTGCAGTGGGAAAGAGCTAGAATATCTGTGAGCAGCCTCGTTATCACCCGACAATAGGTGAGCACTTAGATCAGCAAGAGGTTGATTAAAAGGGGTCAAAATGGATTCAGAGCCAAGAGCAAATTAGCCTAACTTCCTTTTTGAAGAGTTATTAAACTCTTAAATACAGAATGCTATGTAACTTGACTTTAACAATGCATTTAGCTAAATTTCTTACATCCTTGTGGGTAAGATACAAAATTATAAGATGATAGAAATGTAGTTGTCTGGTTAACAATCAGACCTGGAGGGTATTGGTTTGTTTGTTCTACTGTCCACTCAGAGGGGACCCTTCCTGGTCGTGCCTGGGAAGGAAACGAAGATAAAACTGGAAGGAGAGCTAATGTATTGAATGACACAGTCAGGATTTCCAAATATCTTAACTGACTAAAATAGTCAAATTTCAGAAGAATAAATGCGAAGTGCTGTATTTAGAATCAAATGCATAAGCATATGGTGTGAACAACTAGATTTACTGCAAAGTCAATGCTATCTTTTAAAAAAATCTTATATTGAAGCATAAGATGTGCAGAGAATGCACAATTCACAAGTATATCGCTTGAATTATTTTAAAGTGAACAGAACCATGTCATCCCTACTCATATAAAAAACGGGTCCATTCCAAGCACTACAGAAGCTCCTTTCACGTCATCTCCCAGTCACTACCTCACTTGTTCCCAAAGGTAATTTCTCCCCTGAATTCTAACACTATAGACTATACGTTTTTAAAATGTTATATAAATAGGATTATACTGGATATATTCCTTTGTTTTTTTCTCTAGAGTTTGTGATACTCATCATCAATGTTGTGCATGCATCAATGCTTGTTCATTTTCGGTGCTGTATAGTATTCCTCCACTGCATTATAACATAAAGTATTTATCTATTCTACTACTGACCTACGAATTGTTTCTAGTCTTGAGATATCAGGATTAATGCTGTTAAGAACATTCTTGAGGCATTATTAGGTTCCAGGAGTGGTTGGTGGCTAAGTCATCTGTGGAGACATCTGGTCTCTTCAGGGCCATGGAACATGTGCCCGGGGCTCGAGACTCATCTGAGGCCCAACCAGAAACCCTAAAAGGACCGAGTTTCTAGGCAGAAACTTTTGTGATATTGGAATAGTAACAAGTACTGAAATAGAGAACAAATGTCAGAATGGTGAGGAAGCAAAAAGTCTGTGTCCTGTTCCTAGAATCTATTTCTGACGAATCTCTCAAGTATGGAACATATAATATTCTTGTCAGTTGGCTCAGTCAGCAGTCCATCTTGACACTCTGAAGAGCTGATGCAGAGAAGAGATGCTCAAGAGTGATGGGCAGCAGATTGGGAGGCTGAATAAAGTATCTATTTTTCTATACCAGGCAGGGAACCATCTAATGTTTTAATATTAGTCAGGAAATGAAGTAAACTCAATATGTGTGGTAATATCACCACAAAACTAAGACAAAACCCCCAAAGAATTGGACACTTCAACATGTACATAAAAAATGAAATGCTTTGTATGAAAAACTAAGAAATTACATTGGTTTGAGTTTACATGTCCTTAAAACTCCAATGAGCTGGTTCGCTTTTACCACTATTCAGCACATTTCCGAATTGGCTCTCCTGCAGAGAGCATGGATGGGCTTGAAGGAAATTCATGATGATATACCTGAAAAACACAACACTGTGTGTATGAATGTGAACACTTACACAAATGTGCATTTCACTGGATGGATGAGAAGAGGCAGAAATTGATGGACAAATGGCTCTGTGCCCAAATGAAATGAAGAACCACAGAGCTAAGGGAAGCAGCTTAATGAAGAAAAAAAAACAGGGTTTGAGGCTACTGAGCCCCAGCTCTACATATATTTTACTGTGTGAAGAACTTCCCTGAGACTCAGTTTCCTCGTCAGTAAAGTGAAGATGACACCTGC